AGGACATAATGATGAGTGACCCCACCATGTATCCTTGAGCTGTTCCCGAGGGTGTTGTGTCAGATGGCGGATCTTAACTTCGAGTTGGACAAGGAGCCTCGAGGCGACTCACCCCATGCTTCAAGGACCAGACCGTTCGGATCACTGGGTCTGTCTTCCGGATTATCAGGCTCATCGCGCCTCACAAAAGCGTGGAAAACATGTTCGATCACAGGAATCGGGCTCATCTTAAGCCCATCCAAAATTACAGCGACTGGTGCGCGGCGAACAAGAGGTCGATATCCTGACTGCGCCCATCAAGAGGCAACGCCCTCCACCATTATGCTCATAGCCAAGTCAGCGAAAGGGGCTCGCAGTCGAGGACGTGGTTGAAATGATGGGCTTGAGACCTGAGACTGCGCGGGGGGTTTGACGGGTAAATTTGGTGGTCAGCGGCTGAGAGTTCTGGCAGCGGCGGGAAATCGGCCGTGGAGGCGACGGACGTCGTTGGGAAGGAGCGAGATAGCGTGAGCGAAGGGAGCAGCCGGTAGAGAAAGATTGGAGGGAGTTGACTGAGAGCAAGGCATGAGCGACGTGAGGATGCAGCGAAATGAGAATTACGAATGCGGGTGAGTGGGAGGTGGACTGCACATCACTCAGCTTTTGTCGAGGGCGAAAGACAGCCGGGCACAAAGCCACAGCACCAAAGCACCAAAGCACCACCCTCTCCACACGGGGACAGAAGACGCAATCGGGAGGCCCAGTCCTGGTCCTGGAGAATCTCCCAGTCCGTCGACCGGGGTTGCCACAGCCAGGGCGGCATGTCAGTGGTCAAACAGTTTTCAGTTACGCCATTGTTCGGTCGTCAGGCCTATTCTCGGCTTAAAGCGAGAGCTTAAGCGGCCACCACTAGGCCTTTCAAGCGTGACGCAGGAGCCTCCTGGGTCGCTCGCGTGCCCTGCTCAACTACCGGGGGTCCCCGATCGACCTGTAAGTCGCCTGCACACGAGAGCTTGTCTCGACTCGCCAACAGCCACTCTCATGGATTCAGTGTACGTATGTCCTTCTGTCACTTGTGCCTCAAATGCTTTTGCTCCAGACGTGGCAGTAGACCATCTACTTCTCCTCATCACAGCGTCAAGTCCGGTCGCACAGCCAAGCTCTTTTCTCTTCCAGTGACGTGAAACTATTTCGCCCTCAACCGCAGCAACGGTGAGCAGCTGGAGAACTCCCCGAATTGTCTGGACCCTTCCACAGTGCTGGGGGTGCTGCGGCCGATCGATGGGAGCACCTCGGCAAATAAACTCGCACACAATGATTGCGTAAACTAGACTGTGGTTCAGGATCAATTCGAGTCAACTGTCACGGCGAATGGAACCACTCACGTCTCGTCGAACCAAATCGATCTACTTAATTCAGGTTGTCATGACTCGTCGGATGACCTGAGGTGTGATCATCAAGTGACTGTTGATGATTACCTATGTTCTCCAGTGATTCATCGCCCCAAAAATACGGCCACTCCTCACGATATCCTGTACTCAATTGAATCGTATACAGAGATGTAGACAAGTGGCACTCTCCTTGCTCCTGCTGAACAGTCCAACCAACTTGTGCTAGACGGCACACTTGTATTGAGCTTCGGGAGCCGTTGCGGGGCCCCTGATGCCACGCAGACCCTGAGAAGCTTCGGCTAAAACACACGGGGTTGGGCTTCGCTTCGCTTCACATCAAATGCCCGTCCGCTTGTTGGTGGCCAACCACGAGGCTTGTCCTCTTTCCCGCTTGCGACTTTCGTGTCAGCGGTGCTGATCCTCCGCATCAAATGCTGGATGGTTCCGTGACAAAGTGAGAAATCCTCTTCACTCTCCGTCTCAAGCTTTCTGCGGCCAGCAGATTTGTCAAAGCGCCTCCATGCAAGGGATCCGCCCTGCGTTGCGCATGCTCTGACTCCCCCAGAATCTATCCGCATTCTAATTGCGGCCGCAAAGAGAGGAGAGTGTTCACAAAATGGACGTCGATTGCCTCGCGTCAAGGTAGACGGTAAGCGGCTTTCTTTGTACCGTGCAGACACAAAGCTAGCTCGCATCACGACAAATTTCTTTCCAGAGTCTCCATGCCCGCTAGAACACCCGCGCCGATGATCCCACCATCGCGAGCTTCCCTCAAGAACACGCTCTTACCACCGTCCTGGACGCCAGCTCTCATTACCAGTCGGTCGATGAAGCGCTGAGTTTGTTCTTTGAAGTTAGGATAGTGCTGGATGATGCCACCAGTGTACGCGATGACCAGTTCTTCAGGGCCCGACTTCCATGCGCTCGACCCGGGAGCTGGCGACAGACCATCTCGTGTATCACGCTGGAGGGACGAAAGAATCGACTTCGGCGAGGATGGCTTGCTGTCGGTCAAGACCATGCCATCAGGAAGAGATGCAGGGCTACCGGGCTCCGACAAAGCGATCTCACCCACGGTGGCCAGCAACCCGACTGTCGAAGCAGCAATCAGCCCGGCGGATCGAACCTGAACAAGATGAGCGATCTTGCGCAGGGCTCCGGCTGAATGTGGTGACCATCCCCAGTTGGACGATTCGGGAGGTGGTATACGACGTTTTAACTCGCCCGCCAGTTCTGAATCCGACCGGGCTCGTGCTACCACGGCACTGACGAAGGTCGTAGTGAAGCTGTAGCTGTGGACAATTGTCGCAGGAAGGGATGCTGCAGGCACAGGGGGCTTGTGTGCTCTGGTCATGTAGTCGAAGAAGATGATGCGGACCAGCTCTCCGATATACCGACCTCCAGTCATGTATTCCAGAGGCTGGAAGCCTGGTCGAGCGCAGTTTTTATCGAGCTGCCGATCCCATTCCGTGGTTATACTTTGCAGGGGACCACAAGCACCAGCAATAGTCATTTCAGTGTTGACGACGGTCTCTGTTGCGTCGGGTTTGTTCTTTTTGATGGACTCAACTTTGGCTTCACCTAGGCTTGAAAACTTCATGGGGATGGTGGCGTTGACTCCCGTGCCGACGATGATGGCGGCAACAACCCGTGAGTTAGGTAGGGATTTGACACTGTATGCCAGAGAAGCGAGTGTCGCAATCGTGTCATTTGTAATGGCAGTGATTTTCAGTCGAGGCAACGGCCCCAGCTTCCTTCGCTTCGCTTTGGGAGACGAACTCGTGGGTGACTGGCGGCGGGTGTGCCTTGCATAGCCCTGCAACAAGGTCGAGCCGAGATCCAGGTCGGAACTAATGGTGAAGCCTTTGCCCATGGGCATCAGGGTTGCGGACGACAGTTCTGTCTGGCTTGGTTCTTCGTCAGCAAGCTGGAATTGTGGGTTTGGCCAGAACCTACATCATGGGAAAACTGAAGGTGATGCCCATTGCGAGCTCTTCTGGTACGGGTACTTTGCCGTTGTCTGAGGTCAGTCGGTCGCCCACAACCTCAGCAATGCAGTCACCAATCCATGCGAAGAGGTCTTCAGTCTTGTCCATTTTCAGATGCTCTCCTATGGGCCACGCCTTCTCCAGGGTCCGTCGTACTCGCGGCCGCTGGGCGTTTCTAATCGTTTCACGTGACCGTTCAACGCCATTGGCAGTCGGGAGAAGTTCCTCGGTGTCACCTAGTAGCTCGATAAATGCGACTCGCAGATTGGTGCCTCCGACGTCGATAGCAAGGAACTGACCAGTCTCCTGTCCGGTGGGCAGTTTTGTGACGGGCGTTGGTAGAAACTGCTCATCGGATCGTATGGCGAGCTCCTCGTAAACTTTGGAGAACTGATAGGCCAGGTTGTGTACAACATTGTCGTCGATGAGGAGAGGTTGAATGAACGCATCCAGTTCGCCTTCGAGGTCGTCGGGAGGTGGACTGCCATTGCTAGCCGACTGCGCCGAAGCTAGCTCTGACATGATGGTGGACGGAGTGTAAGGTGGTAGATGGTCGCTTGGAATGGTTTCACAGGGCGGTACTTCGTGCTCACGTGCAAGGCGACCGAGTCAGCATTGGAGAGGCGAGAAAACTGGCATCCGAAGTCGGGGAGAAGATCGAATGTACGGAGCTTGCAGAGCGAGCAAGAATCCGACTATCCGAAATTCGAAGCCAAGCGCAACTCTGACACGCTCAGAGAAGTTCACGCACGAGATAGAAACTCAGTCCTCATAAGGACGGATCTGTTGGCGACGTTCTGTTGTTCAGATGTGACCCTGGGGTCGGATGTTACGCTGGGTAGAAGGGTCGAAGGGTAGAGTGAGGAAAAGGGAAAAGTCCAGCCTCAAGCCTTTTCGCGTACGAATCAGCACCCATCGAAGCAGTCGTTTTAGGACATGTCGAACCCGCACTGCTTCCCACCATCGGCACTCATTTGGCGAAAGTTCGATGAGGCTTGGGGCTAAACCCCACGTATGAGGACCTCAAGTTGGGGGACTACCCATTTGATATGCCACATGGCAACTGGGGCTCTCGCCGTTCCTCAGAGCATCAACATGACTCATAGGGCGATTCGTCTCTGTTCCCATCGCACGCACATACCCAGTACTCCGTATTATGGGCCCTTTTGCCTCGTTCGACCGCACAACAGCGGCAGGCTCCGGTGGAGGAGTGGGAGTCGGGTGTTATGACCAGAGCTACTCCGTGTGAGTTGCTTCCCTGAAATTCCTGTCTCTGACCAAACACACAACTCACAGTCACCCATCCAAGAGCGAGGAATTCATCATTTCCTCCTTAGCCAGACCTGGCGTAGGCCTCGTCACGGTGAAGGTGGTCTAGGGTGGAGCAGACAGGAGGACGGAGTTGCCCGGCGCCCTTCCAGCCCTGCTGCGGCTTCCCCGGACGAACATGGATCCCCCCAATCCGAGTCTTTACCACCTGCGCTTACTTTTCACATGCAGACCTGCTTGATGATTTGAAAGGTGCATCACCAAGCGCGGAACTCGATCACTCTCGGTAGTTGTCGAATATTCTTGCGGCTCTAAAGATTGCCGTAACTTACGACCTTTCCACTGGCAGAGTTTGATATCTAGGCTGTGCATCATGGGTAGCAAGATGCCACCGTTTGATGGAAAGCAACAACACCTACTGCACGAGCCATTTGCGACTGAAACTGACCTGCCACCAATCGACAACTACAGCCCTCGAAGATATCAACCAAAACACGCCTTTAAGCGAGTAATTCCCGTCTGCCTCACGCTCCTAGCAATATTCTACCTCCTCCCGACCACTTTCGTCTGCCATCATCACAATGACCCCGCTCTATCCTCGAGGCCGGTCGCAGTCGAAGAAAAAGTACCACTCGAGATACATGTCATGTCGAAATGTCCAGACGCGAGGGATTGTTTGCGCGAATTGATAGTGCCGACAATGGTGAAAGTCTCGGAGAAGGTGAACTTAACGATGTCATTCATTGGAAGGTACGTGACTCGGTCCTCCTTGTAGCGAGAGTCCCGTCTGATATATCTACAGCATTGACCCCAACTCCGATGCCGTCTCGTGCAAGCATGGCCCCGGCGAGTGCCTCGGCAACATCATCCTCCTCTGCGCTGCCAAAGTCTACCCCGACGTGAAGCTATGGCTTGGATATGCCAATTGTTTGATCTCCGACTATCCCGACATCCCGAAGCGAGATCTGGTGGAAAGCTGTGCAATGGAACATGCCCTTGACTTCCAGAAACTCAATTCGTGTATCAGTGATGAAGGAGAAGGCATCGACTTGCTCCGAGCCAGCATTGAAAGAAGCCAGGAGAACAACGTCACAAAGAGCTGTACAGTCAGACTTGCAGGCGAAATCCGTTGTATTCGTGACGGCGGAGAGTGGTATGACTGTCCCGGCGGCAGCTCTGTTGACGATCTGGTGGGGGATATCAACAAACTGTACAGTGCCAGCCTTTTAAGACCGCTATCCTAGTGATCCTTTGTCGCGAAATTTCGGCTTGATATTGTGGCAACAGCATGATACCCTGGGGGTTCTTCGGCGCGCTTGCTTGGTGGCATGATCCACTCATCGGGTATCTTTGCTGGCTCAGAGTGATTCAGATGTATCTGAACATGTTGTCCTTCACAGATCGCTTCATCGCCACAGGCTTTCCACCTTCAAGTTCGAGTCCGTATTCGCCGCCTTCGCCTGACATGGATTCCATGGCTAGCTTCATTTCTTCGTCCAGCTCTGCCATGGACTTGTGCGTCTTCTTGAGCTTATCCATGGCTTCTTTCTTCTTGGCTGAATTTGACGGATCTTGTGGCTGAACCCCAGGCTCGCTTTGCTCGCTTTTGGTAGTTGTTGAAGCAAGTCGTGCCTGGCCCAGTGCCTGCCTCATTAGACCACGCCGGGCCACGGAAAAACTCGCTATTGATACCAGTTTCATTCTGAATTCAGGGCTGATGAAGAGCTTACGAGGTACTATGAGAAGTAGATAGATGCGAAGAGCGGGAGGTATCAAGTGACGACTTGCTTCGCTTCCTCTCGTGCAGCAGTGACGCCATGCAGCAGTGACAGGCAGCCGAGATCCTTGCCAAGGCCGGAGATTTTGTCCTGCCAATAACTAATGGTCCGTTAGATCGACGCCCTTGAAGCGATATACCGTCCTCTCCTCAACATCACTTCTGCCTCCCTTTTGTGCGCTCTCTGGTCGTGGCTGGTCAGTTCTTCTCGGCCTTCATCGTCGCGCTCAAACAGCGAGCGACAACATCATACCAGGAAGTCAGCGATGGCCGCTCAACAGTATTATGAACTGTATCGCGGCAGTAGGTAGGCATTCCGCCAGCAGGTCGCCACGTTCTGAGAACTGCTGCCTTCCATCACTGTCGCACTCGCCACCATGGACTGCTTCAATTATTGACAAGTACTGTGCAGTATTGGCGATGCGCTCATCGATACGATTGACGACCTGATCAACGATGGCCGAATCGAACCCCAACTGGCGATGAAGATCCTCAGCAACTTCGATCGCGCCATTGCGGAGACGCTTGCAGAGAAGGTCAAGTCAAGGCTGACATTCAAGGTCCGCAACTGCAGCGAAATCTCGCTCTGGGATCTGCTGACAGAGTCTGCAGGGCCACCTTGAAACCTACCGCTTCTGCGACGATGTGTGGACTTTCCTCGTGAAAGACGTTAGGTTCAAGAGCGATGGCGGTCAGGAGTTCCATGCGGACAAGGTCAAGATCGTCAGCTGCAACTCCAAGAAGCCTGGTGAAGCATAGGGAAAGCAAACATGACTGTTCTACCTGCATCATATGACAGCGTCTGGGGATTTGGTTGGGTAGCATGGAAAACGGCGTAGCGGATAGACACCTACCACCGGGGGATTTCTTTGGGTCGCGATACGCTTTCACAGGCACTACTGCTTGGGACTGGACTGGTGGCGTTGACATGAATTATGGCTCTGAGGGCCAGCACAAGTTAGATACCCCCAGCAGATTATGCACCACAACAAATGGCAGGGTCGCAGATTGCACTCCGCAGTCGTCAGATAAGAGACATGCAGAAATGTCTGTTTCATGAAGATCTCAACTTATTTGTTTCCAGCTGTTTTGTCTGTGTCGTCTTCTGTGCTCATTACATGCCTCTTGAACCTCGCAAGTTCCAAGTGGGGTTGCGCTGCCTGTAGCGACGCCAGCCCACTCTTAACTTTCTGTTCCTACTGCCATTCTTTGTGGCACTACCACCGGACTGCCTACCTGTATTTCCGTCACTGACTGCCCCCTGTGCGCCGCGATAGAGAAACAGAATGCATATACTGGCATCGGGAACGAATAATTCACAGCGCTCCAACCCTCCTTGAACTCCTGCTTCCTCTGGGCTTCCACCGTCAGAGCCGACCACCCTGATAAATGGCTCGTACACTACCCTGGAACGTCAAGCATGAGCCGCCAGCAAAGAAGCCACGCGTAACACCAGCACCTCGCCTCAAGCAAGAGAAAGTGTCTGCCCCGACAGACGATGACAAGTCCGAGGGTGAGGGGACGGTGAGAAGCCGTGGTCGTTTGTCGAGACCGGATAATGCACCAACCTCAAGCCGTTAGTATCTCTAAGCACTGGGCGCATAAACCAATGCTAACGTCGTCAGGGAGAACGCCTTCTTCCTCTCCCGTCCGTGGACCTCCATCTGTCCAGTGAGCCGTCCTGCGTGGTTTTGGAGAATGCTTCGCTAACACATCCACCAGGGTAATGCACGAGGGTTATGACGGAGATGACGCCTATATTATGGTCGAAGACGAATTTCAGACGGTGGCACAGTTATACACCGCACACCTCCACCACGCTGAATACAAGAGACTGGTCAAGCAAGCTCGTCAAGCTCCTCCAAAAGCTCTCCCTGCGCCGACCTCGCCGATGTCCAAGGAAGCAAAGAATCGGCTGAGAACTGCGGCTCTTGAAAAGAGGCAGAAGGAAATCTTGCGCCGCGTCACAGGTAACAAAACCCGCGAAGAAGGAGGAGAAGACGAGGACGACAAAGAGGCCAATCTGTGGTCCGGTACCAGTTTGGCTCCACTAATGGCTGGTGGTAGCCAACAAAAGCGATCCTTGGTGGGACTGGAGGGCATATCGAGCAGCACCAAAGCTGGGCTAGGCCTCACCAGAAGCCAGAGCTCCCGAATAGAGACCAAAGAGGGGGAGGACGGTGATGCTTTTGGCCTAAGCGAAACGCACCACAAGACGCCTCAGCAACGGGAGGAAGCGGTTAATGCCATTACCTCTCAAACGATCTCGGTGACTCGTGCCATCGACCAGAGCTTGTCCAAATCCGAACCTGCTCCAGTCAATGGCGAGCCAGCAAAGCCTCCGTCAACTAAGCGCAAGTTTTTTTTCGACCTTGACGACGGCTGGGATTCTCCAGAAACAGTCGTCAAATCTGAGGATGACAGACCGAAGTCAAGGCCAGCATCGCTTCTAGACAAAGGGAAGGAGAAGAGGTCAAGGCTAGATGAAGTGCCAATGTGGTTGTGATCATTTCTTCTTTAGCCACATCTTATGTGCAGCACACTCCCAGTCGCTGTCCAATGCTATCGCCTGCTATCGATCATCGTTGAAAAAAAAGGCTTTGCAACACAGGCACGCGTCCCTGCCAACTGTCTTCTTGAAAATGTCGTTACCCCAGCTATCGGACCTTACTGCGAATCCCCTTGTCCATGCCGTTGCGCATGACGTCCGTTCTCAGACAACAGGATTGGACGCAGCCTTTGCAGCGTTGTGCATCGACTGCGCGTCCTCCCGCGCCTTCTCCACCAAAGCAGGCTTTCTAAGATTGGACATCAGCGTCGACCCTGTGAGAACGGGCATGGTCTTGACGGATCTTACCCTTGACAGTCGACACCGAGGGTGACCTCTTCCCGGCGGAAGTTGGTTGGGTTTCCCTTCAAGCAGAAAGTGTCAGTCTCGTCTCATCCATCGAGTCCGTCTCAGGAGCAAAGCACTTACGATCACTAGCTTCTTCTCTACCTCCGGAGCCGCCTTGGCCGACCGACGCTTCAACTTGCCCTTCAACCAGTCGATCTTCTTCATCATTGATGCTCTGAACTTTCCAAGAGCCGCCATGGTGTTTGTGGTATAGTGTGTCGTTTGGTCTGTTGGTGGATTGTATGGTTTCTTTGGTGTGTGTATGGTGAGAGTGCTGCTGGTTCGAGTCAGACACAAGTGAGCATTGACTCAAGACAGAAGATATACCCCAGAAGGAGGCCCTGTAACGCCGTGAGAGAGCGGATCTCGACGACTCCGTTTGATTCGCCGTCGCCGTTTGCTGAAACGGGGTGAAGCGACGGGGATGTCGTTTGCGGTGAATAAGACAACATATGTACGAATGAGCGACAATGAGTTGGACGCAGAAAGCAGGACGCAGAATGCAAAACGCTGCAAGAATGGCCAAATCTGCGAAACGAAAGAACAATAACAGATCAGGAAAAGAAAGACTGGAGGTCGCGGATATTCAGGCCATTTGCTTCAGTCATTCATTCAGTCATGGCGGTCAATGGCCCTCGGGAGGGGCGACTTGTGAGGGACAGTCAAAGCTGCAGAGTCAGAAGTGTGATGGCAGAATATGCGGAGCCATCCACGGTGCCAAACGCGGGTCCTTTCAATCTTTCACATTTTCCATGCCATGGGACAATGGAGGGGTGGGGGTTGTGCTGTCGAACACTGTCCGGGCTCTCAATAACATCCCGAGGATAATGCGACGACAGCGACGACAACGACGACGTCGACGAGGCACTGGTGGCTGGTGGCTGGCCACGAGAGCTCCACGAACGCTTACCGTGTGCACCGAGCCAGCATGAAAGGGGAACGGCCCCAAAGATATGCATTTCAATCAAGACCGGCCACGGCCACGCCCTTTTTTCCGTGGGCATGAGCGTGCGGCGCCACCCGGCTGAAACCAGTAGGCCGTGGGTTGACACGAGCAGCAGCATTTCACGCGCTTCAGCCTCTCACATGCCATGCCACGCCACGCCGTTGATGCCAGTCAGTGTCTGTGCAACCCATTCCTCGGGTTTGATCCGTTGGCGTGGATGGACAAGCTCGGACCGTTTCCAGCATGCACGAAGGGTGTGGCTGTGGTTTCCGCGCCGTGTCGACGAACTCGATCTCCGCTGGCCACATCTACGACCTGACGTACTCGCACTCGTACAAGCCTACGCGCAGAGAGATCATGTGTTGTCGTTGTTGTTGAGGATAGGCCGATTAGCGGTGGCCTTTTCAATTGCCGGCCTCCGAAGTTACACACGGCATGTCGGACAAAGGAGTGAGAGTTTCCAGAAGATCGCCACCGCCTTCCAATGTAGGTATGTATGGATGTACGGATGCATGGATGTATGCAACTAGTCTCGTGCTGCAAGGAGTAGCTTCGTCGTTGCGAGAAATCGGAAACACAACACATCTAATATGTAGAGGTAATAATGCATGACAGCTAGGAGAAGCATTTTCAGCAGTCACTTCCTAGAGCTGGCACCGAAAAGGATGTCGACTTCGAGTTGGAAGCTACCTGGTAACCCTGGTACAGTATCATGTTCCTCGCTGCGTCTTCAGTCCGTGGAGGAGGAGTGAGGTACGAACGGCCTTGTCTCACTCACATCCTGCATAGTCGCACATCGGTTGCAGTGATCACACAATCCGCGACTAGCGTAAGAGTAATCCTAGAATGAGTGCCGTAGCCTGTTTTCCAGCTTTGAACCTTTCCTCGATTTCTTCACATGTCGTCCGCCGCCGACCGAGCTTACTTCTTGTACGTGTGCCCATGAGGAGTGCATCGTCCACCGACTGAGCCTACTTCTTGTACGTGTTCCCGTTGGGAGCAGTGTACGTCGAGGATCCACTGCCGCTGTTGTAGTAAGAGGAGCCGTTGGCGTTCGAATAGTAGTAAGAGCCATCTATATTGGGGAGTGGATATTGATTAGCTCATGTACTGATTGCGCTTCATGTCCGAGACGCGGTTGCCACCCTTCCACCTAACTTAAAACTTACTGGAATTGGAGTAGTGATATGCATTGCCGCCGGGCTGGGAGCGATTGTCATAGCTGTTGCCCTATTCGCATAGATAATTAGCCATCGGTTACGCAGTAGTTAGAGCGATCTGCTACTCGTAGGTGTATCATTCCATCAGTGCGGGGTGAGTGGCATCGGATGTCGTCGTACCTGAGAGTTGGTCCCGCTGTTGTTGACGGTGTATGGGGTGTAGCTGGAGGAGCCGGTGTTGCCGGATTCCTTGCCCATGTTGATGGTTGAAGGTCGTTGATCGATGAAGCTGGAGCGTTGTTGGATGTACTGTAAGTAGCTCGTGAACGCGAATGGCAATGGTCGTTCGAGGGTGGGAGAAGATGGCGGGGTTGGTTGATATGTACTCCGTATGTACTGGACGACTGCTCGCATCGCTTTGTCCGCAGCAAGCCGCAGGCAGTGGCAGTCGCAGGAGCAGAGGCAGCTTTACGATACCCCTCATTTCTCACTCACTCACTCACTTCACCTCAGCCCGATCCTGCTGCTTTCTTGTTTCACCTTGATCTCGCTTTCACTTTCCTTCGGGAAACGCCATGCGATAGACCTAGGATTCGTATGCACCGTACTTGCCAACTCTGGACAGGCCGTCGTCTCAAAACGCGGATCCGGAATGGTTCTCATATCCGTAGGCCAGCTACGCACGCTGAGATCGTTCTCTCACCGTCGTTCGGTAATTAGTGGATGGGCTTCTCAAATTACCTGCTCTATGGGAACAATGACCGCGCCCCGGCGCATACAGTACAGCCATAGTGATCGTCGTTGTCCTTCAGGTGTTGGATCTCATTGGTGAAGTACTGCTATGGTTTCATTCTGTCATGTGCCTCATCGACCACCTCCCTCTGAATTCAGGTTGGACTCTCTGTTTGACGTATGAAAGAGTTGGGATCTAGCTTCTTGTGGTACTCCTGACGCGCTCGGCAACCTCAACTAGGTGTGGAGGAATGCTCCCTTCCGTTCCCCATCTTCTGTAATCTCCTGCAATTATATGCAGTGTTATACAGCGAGATCCACTGACTCGGAACCAGATTGAACCAACCCGCCAAACTCCACGCAAATATTCCAGAGGTATGAAGAGGTGCGAGAGAACATACTCGTACACCGTAAACCGGATAACGGCCATGAACCCATCCCTTTGATTAAAATTACTCCAAGTTCTAGTTCATCGACACACACACATATGATCTATTTCACGCTTGCCAACGCTCCGATCAAACGTTGCAGATAATGCACTGCCGCTCAGTGCCAAATTAGAGTCGCCACAAAGGCCAACGTGGTATACACAGTGACAGCAACGTACACAGCCTCATGGAACAGCGTCAGCTTGCTCCATTTCGTTTGCTTGGACTCTCGTTTCGGGTGGGCGATGAAGGTGTCCGGGTCGCGGTCGAGTAGCTCCTCCCGATCTGGCACTGTCGGAGGCCATATCGCGTATCGGACGGGGACCGTGAAGGCGATGGCGGACAGGACCCACAGCATGGGTGGCCAGCAAATGTGTGTCAAGATGTACCGGTACTGTGCACTGACATCTCCCTTGATCGACAGCGCGCGGCCAAAGGCCAGCGCGACGGCGGTGACGGTGAATACCACGTACACCAGGTGGATGTAAGCCTTGCAGTCCCAGATGATGATCTTTAGGCGTTTCCAGAGCGGCGCTCTCTGCTTGATGTCGCGCTCGTTGAGTTCCGAGGTGAGAGAGCCAGTGGGTGCAAAGGCCATTGGCTTCCCACCCAGCCATTTCGGCAGAATGAAAGACTGGACGATGGTGATGGCGTTGTACGGAATCATCCACAGAGACGCGTCGAAGTCGCGTCGAGCAAGCCGGTATCCCGAGGGCAAGAAGGTGATGTATTCGGCCAGTCGACCCAGCGCGAAGCCCAAGAAACAAAGACGGATCTGCCACCGTAGCTGGTCCTCGCTGACGTACAGCACGAGGACCTTGCCGGACATCAGACCCACGGGGATGGCGACAACGGCAAACGCGATGAACATGCGGAGCAAATTATCCACCGGGAACAAAAACCCCGAAAGTCGTTGACTGAAGGTCATGCCACGTGCGCCGACTCCATAGAGACAGAAATTGAGTTTGGCAGCCGTTTGCAGCGTGCCCAAAGTCCAGCGCGTCCGCTGTTTGAGGTGGCCGGTGAAGGTGTCGGGCACGAGTCCCCATTGGAGGGGTTCGTGCACGAAGGCCGTTTTCCATCCGTGGCCCAGCAGCATGGAACTGGTGAAGACATCTTCTGCCAGCGAGCCCGTGGGCCACCCACCGATGCTTTCGATGGCGACCCGCCGGACTGCGTAGCCGGAACCGGTGCACCATGCAACACCATTGGCGTCTTTGATCACTTCTTGCACACGTGCAAAAGAGTCCAAGCTCTGGAAGAGAGGGTCTCCTTTGGGCGTGTTGTAGAAAAGCTGGGGCGGGCACACCAGGGACATTTGATCATCGATGACCAGATGGGCCATCAGAGTACGGAGCCATTCCGGCTCGGGGATCATGTCGGCATCCAGAGCGGCGATGAACTCGCCGGGTCCCTCAGGTAGGGTGGCGACCATATCTGTCGCAGCGATGAGGTTGCCAGCTTTGAAGTGATGGGGCTTGCCCTTGACCTTGACGCGTGCCCAGTAAAGCAGGTTGGTATAGCAGGTTTGCAGCATCCCGACTGCTTTTCGCAATTCCTCAGAACCGCCGTCATCACAGACGACTACGCGGAAGCGATCCCGGGGATAGTCGATCACGCATGCTGCACGGACAGTGTCGAGGATGACGTCGATATCCTCCTTGCAACAGGTAACAAAGACGTCGACCGTGGGAACAGCGTTGCCTCGAAGACGGAGCTTGGGCCGTTTCCGGGACCGAAGGGCAAGGAAGGAATAAAACGCGTAAAAGAGCTGCGGGAAGGCGACGAACGTTTCAGCAATGATGAAGACCCAGGCCATGGGGTAGATTTTGTCCCGCGCTCTCTGGGTCGCGAGCGTACAGTATATCCGGAAGCCGAAATAACCGAAGCTGGCGGCCAAGGCTGCGACAGTCACGAAAGGCATCAGCTTGTGTACCGCTTTGACGAGGGTCGGCCGGAGTTCGAGGTCGTCGAAATCTGCAAGACGCTCGACCGTATAGCAAGACGAGTTGTACTTGATGTTGAACGGCATCGCCTCTTCCGCAGCAGCAGGAACAAAGCCCTACATGTCTGTCAGTAGGGGCAACCGTACATTTGGCCAGGGCAACATGCCTTCTCATACATCCTTGCCTTGACATCGTTGAGATCCACCAGACTTCGGTCTCTGAGAGTTGATGTGCGGCTCCGGCTGGTGCTGTCGCTTGACATCTGACGCTTGTACGCGGGCAACGGCGTCGATGGTCCGCCGGTATCTGGGGAGTATACTCGTTCGCCATTGACCGAGTAGGACGCTGGTACCGGCGGAGGTGCTGGAAGAAAATAATCGTCGGCCGCAACCCAGGATTGAGACCTAGCGGCTGTCGGGTGTGTTTGTTCAGGGACCCTCGGGTTGTTGACCTGCTGGGGATCCATGGTGAATTCGAACAAACATGCAAAGGGCAAACGGGTGAATAGGAGTGAACTTGAGTATCAAATTGTAACGAGTGACCGAGGTGAACTTGAGTATCAAATTGTAACGAGTGACTGAGGTGAACTTGACCACGACATTGTAACGAGTGACTGGAAGAGTAAGGGATTGACAAGAGATATAGCGAGACGACGAGAGGCAGCGAGTGTCCATGGCTTAGTATGACTCCTGGACAGCAGATGCCATGTTGCCGTCGAGGCGTCCAGCTCGGCCTCGCATTTCCATCGGATTCCTCTGCTCAATCTTATCGTTCCTAAGCAAGCGTCGACCATAGCTCCTTGGTGTTTTAGTCAAAATTGCGGTGATATTGCCGTGAGAGATGAACAAGCACACCTCTATCAGCGGAACGAGGCTTCACTGGAAGCCATAGGCGGATCTGACAGCGTGCTATCTGATGGCGCCATAAGTACGGTTGCCCGTACAAGGGAACGATGGTGTTGATCGTCGTCCCTGTCAGGGTCCTTGTGGTCGGGGACCTGGACGATGGTTGCGGAGCGGCTGAAGACGTGGCGTGCACTATCTGATGGCCGCTTCTCGGAAACTGCTCTGGTGCCGCGGCTGTGGCTTGCCGATCTCATCGGATCTCGTTGTCTCGCACGGATATATCATCCTGTCGATCTTTGAGGAGGCTCGGCCCATCCTCCGACGTGCTGTCGACGCGAGGCCGGTAAGCCGCCGGTTTGACGTGTCCGAGACCCCTGCCGCGATGCGTGTCACTTCCGGAAGAGTACACCAGCAATCAAAGGTGGCATCACACCGACATGAGCATAACGCGGTGGGAATAGAGCACGCAGTTTCATCTTTGCTCCGTCGAGGGAATAGGAGGTAATTACCCTCGTCTCGATGCAGTGTTATAAGGGCAGCCCTGGTCGCCGAAGTTCACGTTTTCTCTTCTGCATACGTTCACTCATCAACTTACCCTAGTCACTCATTTCTGAGCCTCCCCCGTCACTCATTTTTGACCTCTCCGCCGTCCTTCACTTCGTCACTGGATTCATATCACATCTCGAGATCCTTTTACGGTACACAGTACATCGCAACCGACAGTTCTTCAACATGCAGCTCCCCTGTGCCGTCCGCGCCCTCTTCTTCCTCTTCCTCACCATTGAGGCCGCTCCTACGCCACAGACCGCCGGTGCCTCGGGAGGAGACCTCTCTACGCTGAGCGGCGTCAGCGGCCCGGAGACGAATGGAGACACCGCCGCCGCCCTCGGCGCCGTCTCGAACAGTGGATATGTCACTGCAGCCAACGCCGGGGATGTCGCCAACGTCTTCAGTGGCAACAACAACACCGAGAACAACCTCGCCAACGAAAACGAGATCGTTCCTGTAAGTCTGAACAGTAACTCAGCCTCTAATTCTATTCCCATCAACGTTGCTCCTTCTGTACGTAACTCTTTCTTCAGCTGTCGCCCTCACTTGGAGCGGCTGAGAATTCCTGGCTAACTTGACGCTTGCTGCAGATCACCCTCGGACTGCCAAGGTGAAGAGCTCGACTTTTTCAACATCAAGTCGTCGGTGCAGGAAACGCAACGAGCCATCTTACCAGGGTCCAATGGCAGATGGACCTGAAACAAATCATGAACTTAGATTTCGGACATTTGTGTACATATAATACGTTTTGGGGGGGAGATAGTCGGTGTCAAGGGAGAAAGGACGGGCGATGATAGGCTGTCAATGGAGAGTCATGCGTACCACGCGGTTTCATTGGCCGTGTGTCAAGTTCACTTTTGCCTTTAGTTTCTGTCCCGATGCTCCCTGTCCTCGTAGTCGCTCCCCAAAGTCAAACCGAACACTGACGATCAACGCGATGCGAGACGTGAAGGAGAACGCGGGGCCCAACGCGGATCGGTACGCGAGTCGGCAGCGTCACCGGATAGACCCACTTGGTCTCGCATCCTGTTCCATAGCGTCGGTACCTCGTAAGACTATCAAATGATTTGCATCGTTAGCGCTTGTATGGGCACAGTACAGGGACCTGGGAAGCCAATGAAAAAGGCCCATGTCTGCCTCTAGCTCCACAGGCACAGGGGTTGTCGCGTACTCGCACTGGGGTCCCCGGGCTGAACACAGCACGGCATCACGGTCGTCTCTGGCCTGATTTGGCGAGGATCCGGATCAGGCTGAGCCAACAAGAACAACTCGGTCATCCACGTCGTGGTCCATAAAGACCAGGATCATCACGTAGCAAAGAAAGTGCAGATCCACTTGAAGCTGAAGCTGAAGCTTTTGCTTCGTACCTAGTAGGAGAAGGAATGGAAGAGCTAAGAAGTAAGGGAGATCACTTTTCACGTCGTCCGCAGGACTGCCACATAGTGCTAGAAGAAACCCGAGGCAATAGCCAGGACGGACACTGAACCGTCAAGTTACGCTCTCCCTTGTGAATGAGATAACGCCCACGCCCCTACACAGTACTTGAATGTGCGGCATCAGAGGCTAACTCTTACAGCCAGTCGCACTTTACTCCACCAAGGTGTGTCTACAATGCCGCGGTTCAGACAGTGTCCCTGCATCAGTTCAGCGTCAAATCCCCCCGCCTTCTCAACCTACATAGGTTGTTCGATCGGACACGAACGACGCGAACGACACGAACGACACGGACGACACGGAATGAAACGCACGACACCTCGGAGACTCCACCATCTCAACTTTCCCTCAACTTTCCCTCAACGTTAACCTTCCTCAGGGCACCCTTAATCTTGGCTCCGATCCTCCACCGCGGCCAACGCGTACCGCTCATTCTCCCCCCTCCGCTCCTGCACGAAACTCACGACATGCTCCGGCACGACTGGCACCAAGTTGCCCTTCCCGTGCCCCACGCCGACGCCCTCGAACGCCACAGGGTCCCCGAACGATTCCCACACCGGGATTGTGCCCGTCCAGACTTGAGCCCGCACGTCCGCGCGGTCGAGGTCCTTCCGCTCGTCCCGCGGCCCGCCGACGCGGATTTTCCCACTGCCCCCGACGACTTTCACCTTCAAGATACTCGTGCTGGTCATCTCGGCCGTGTCGGGCGGGACGCGCGTATGGGCCCACCGCCCGGAAACCACGCTGTTGGTGATCATCTCCATGGCCCAGAGCTTTTCGTCCGTCGAAGACACCAGCGTCGCGTACCCGTACAGGGTGGCGGATCGGTAATTCACATCGTGCGTGTTGGGAGTCAACGTGAGGACTAGGCCGTCGACTTTGGTGGCCGAGATGGTCACGGGGAGGCCTGCTTCGGGTGCCGATGTAGCTGTCCCGCCGACCTCGGCCACCGTCTCGGCGCGGCGCGACAGATTCATCAGTCGCGAACTGACGTAGCCGTGGAGGTAGACGTCGAGGGGCTCGCCCAGGGAGGAGGACGGGTGGTCGAACGAGGCCGCCACGCCGACCATCTAGAGGGATGAGACATGATCATGGAAGGAGGGGGTGGAAAAGTAGGCGTGGCTTAAAAAGGGCCGGGCGGCGACTCAACTTACAGGCAAGGTCACGGGAAAGGGATTTGCCGCATCCGCCGTATTGAACGAGACATGAAGAACTGTGCTCGTGTTGATGATGGTGTGGATCTGCTCGAGATCGTAGGTTGCTACATGTTGAGATCCAAGAGTTAGTAAGATGAGCGTCGAATAAAGAAACAGGACAGCATGCCCAGGGCTGGTCAGACAACGCAGAGGGCTGTTACTTTTTTTTTGGACAACAATGCTTCAATCGCCCGGTCGATCAAGTAAGGAAACTATCAGAGAAGGAGAGACTAGTTTGATGCATCGGACATGCCACACCTCCCTGACCTCGTTGCACCGTGACATGCTCCGCACTCACCTCGCTGATTATAGCGATTCACCCTGTTGATGGGCGTCTTGGGATACTCGAGCGTGCGTCCGTGGCCCATGTTGACGTTGACGTTGACGCTGGGTCCGGGTCGGCGGGTAATCCGCTTCTGTGGTCGACGGCGGTGTTGCCCGATCAGCCACGAGTATAGGTAGTCAGTTGTTTCGAAGGAATACTAAGTCTGCGTCGTGATGTGATAGAGGAATGGTATGGTCCGCTGTGAGTGTGCACACTGCAGTGCTTAATGCCTAGTGCTCGAGGCGGCGAGTCTGATACTATCCAGGTATGCAGGTCGGAAGCAGGGTAGTGATATGTATTACTGAGTGTACAAACGGACTGCTACTGATACTCGCGGCAGTCCCACTCCATATACTGCGTGGCTAGACATATATACGTATACCAATTCCTAGCCGTATTGGTCTCCCACCGGGAGCAGCAGGTCGAGCCAGCCACACAAGGTGTACATCGTACGCGCGGACCAACTGGAATACAAGTAGGCACCGTATACCCTTATTCGTACCTCGTATCCTTATCACGTCGTGTCCTCAAAGGCGGGAAGACTCGCGGTGGGTTTCCCGGGTCTCATAGGACCGCGAACCAATCACGATCGCGCCATCTCGCCTTCTGCTGGCCATTTGTTGTGTTGGTGAATGGTGGTTGCGAAACGCAGAAGACCGCCCACGCCGGCCCTCCTCAAATGGTAGGTCCACGCGAAGGGAAGCGAGGGACAAGCGAGACGGCAAGGCTCTGGGAGATAAGGAGCGTGGCTCAACACAGTTGAGCACACATTCGCGGTCGGATTTCATCATTGTCATCCATTGCTGATCTATCCTTTTGTCTGGACCGGTTATATGCATCTCGAGGGCCGAGTCTTGGTGAGCGGTGCCCGCTCCTACGTTGTGAGACTGTTACAACTTCCAATGCTTTGGTCTCAGAGATCGCCAAAGGTCGAGAAGCTATTCACAGTTTCACTCTCTCTTGGCTTCCACCACTGGGCCGCCTCATCTGTGGCCGGAAATTTGGGCTCGATGCGACAAATCCTGGCGACGGCTGCCTCTCGGAACTCGACCCTTGCGCCGATTGATCTGTGCTCTCCGAGACGGAACTTCTCGCCGAGGGCTCTAGATTCGTGGAGGGAGGCTGAACGGAAGGCGTACGCCCACGCATACCCATCGCTTGTTGCTGCTGGCCTATCCGTTCGCGATTGAGTAGCCACTGGACTTGTGAGCGGGTGCTGAACAAGGCGGCATTGGTATGAGCGAGCTCCTCTTTGATTCGTAGCGTCTCGTTCATCAGTTGCATGGATGTTCGGGCGTCAAGATCGGCTATGTTGCTGGCCATGACGGTAATGTCATTCTCCAGTGTGTCGACAGTCCCTCGCAGCGATTCGTGCAGGGCCAGCAAATGCTGTTCTGTCTGTGAGACAGTGCTAGCCAACGGGTCGGGCGAGGGGGTCAAGGCACGAAGATGTGCTGGCATCAGGAGATCGCGGTGCGAGATGGCGGATGGGATGTGATCGCGTTCGATCTCCTCGATGTCGGACTCAGGCGGAGGAGAACGGTCGGTGTGGTCGATGTGAGGCAGGACTCGGTCGTTGACAATGTCATTGATTTTGTCAAAGCCCGTTTCGAGGACCTCATTCCGAACCTTGACCATGGCCAATTGTTCTTGTAGAGACTGCAAGAGCTGTGATTGTTTCTTGAGGTGTGGAGCCATTCTCGCCAGTGGACAGGATCTCACGTGGTGGTCTAGCTCTTCGGGACCGACATCGTCTGTACAGCCATACTCCTTTCCGGGACAGAAATGGCCCTTGTCGCAGATATGGCCTGTCACGCCGTTCAGATAGTCTCTGGCCGAGATCCTCTGGCCGCACTGCTTGCATTTGACGCCAGTGTTGGGACAGTCTTCGTCTTTGTGCCTGAGCCAGTCACCCTTGCCCAATTCGATGACGGCGCCACAATCACACTCGATGTGAGATGAATGAATACACTGCTCCGGAACAAAATTCCTCCTCTTGACCAATTTACCACAGCCTGCATCAGGGCACTTGAGTCGCTGATGAGGACATTCCCGTGTGGCGTGTCGTTCGATATAGCCTCGAGGCAGGACTTGTCCACAGTCCTCGTTGGGGCAGTTCACCTTGACTTCGTTGCACATGTTGACGATGAGGCGAGAGGCCTTGCGGGAAATGGACAGGACGAAAGCTCGGCAAGTCGGACATTGATTGTGCTGACCGTTCTGGCCACCTTGCCGGTACTCGTGCAGACAGGACTCGCAGAAGGTATGGTCGCACTCGAGGACGACAGGATCGACAAACGGCACATGGCATATCGGGCACATCAGGTGGGAGTCGTAGTCTTCGGCATATTCGAGCGAGCGCAAGTCCAAACAGGCCTGCTCGGGCTGCTCGGGCTCTTTGGGACGGTCATGATGGGACTGGCGGGCGGACGGGGATCTGGGAGGTGAGACGTGGGGACGAGACCGAGCGAACTCGGCAAAGAGGCTGTTGAATTGTGACTGAAGCGGGCTGGGACTGTCGAGGCCAAAGTCCGACACGGGGAGATCGTGGTCATCATCCATTCTGGAAATCGGCTCTACAGCCCAGAGTGAGTGAGATGTCGAGCAGGAGGAGGAGCAGCATATTTAAACAGGAGCCGGGGACGACAGCACATGAAGTCAGTTTGTTGTTTGATCCGGAGTCGGAAGTTTGACGTGTGGAGAAGGCATTCGTCGGATGTGATCGAGTCGGGGCCTGCTGGACCCTGAGGGGGGGGCACGGGGGCTTCATGCGCTGTTCCTCGGGCGCTTGGCATGGCACCTAAACTACTGGGTACTCGGTAATAGGGTCGTACCCAGTAGGCTATCCCCACCCAGCCTGCCAGCCTCGAGCCTCCGGGCGCAACTCCCCGGACTTCTTCCACCACCGTCACTGCAGCCTTCAGCTTCAGCTTACATCGTGCACTTTCCGAAGTACCCACGTACACAGTAGACAGTACACAGTACGCAACAGACACACCACGACCACCGTTTGGCCCCATGCGATTCGTTCTCCGTCTGAGACACACACGTCGCTCTGAACAACACTTCGTTGTATAGGACTTCACGTTCAGCTCCCATCGCTTCCTCGCCTCAAACCCTACCCTCCCGCCACAACCCGCCATGTCCAATCCCTCACAACTCCTCCTGCTCGCCGACCACATCAAACTCTCGCTGCTCGAACGCCAGCGCGCCATCTCGTTAAACCTCGACCCGAACCCGTCGCAAGACTCCAACATCGCCCGCTCACTAGAGTCCTTCCGCGAAGGCATTGAATCCCTGTCGTCCCGCGCTCCCGCCGACGAATCGTTACCCCAACTGCGCTCGCAATACAATGCCCTCTCCCGGCAATTCCAAGGCGAGAGCTCCACCACGGCCGACGACCCCCTCTCCTCGCCAAACGACCCGACTCTGAAAGAAGACTTTGCCCGAGCCAAGACCCGAACGTCAAGCGACGCGGCACGTCGCCAGCAAAAGACATCCAACTTGAGAAGACAAGACGCCGGAGCGGCAGCGGCGGCGGCGGCGGCAGGGGCCAAAAACGTCCGCTTCAGAGACAACCCCTCGCAAGAATCCCTCGACGATGACGAGGACGAGGCGACCCGTGCGGCGCTCTTCCCCGCGCGATACACGGACGCCGAAGACCAAGACAGTCGTGCGCGTACACCGGACCCGACGGGTGATATGTCGAACCAGCAAATCCACGCGTACCACCAGCAGATCATCGCCGAGCAGGACGAGCAGCTGGACCGGCTCGGCGAAAGCATCGGCCGCCAAAGACAACTCGCCATGCAGGTCGGCGATGAGCTCGAGGGCCAGATCGGCCTCCTCGACGAGGTCGACCGCGGCGTGGATCGGCATCAGGGCCGCCTGGACGGGGCGAAGCGGCGGTTAAAGGGCGTGAGTCAGCGGGCCAAGGACAACTGGGGCATCACCACCATCATTGTCCTCATCGTCATCTTGGTCCTGTTGATCATCTTGTTGAAGTGAGCGTCTAAAGCTTGAGGTTTGAGGTTTGAGCACGACCAGGCAGACAGTCGTGGTCACTCGTACAGTACGGAGTATAGGGTAGGTATAGGTACTCTGGACCGGTCACCTCGGATGGGACGCAACGTGCGCGACCACCCTTTAATGCCAGACATGAAGTATATGTCCGTATGTTCGCATTGGACGTCGAGCAACGACCAGTGACTGGGGGACCCGCCTCGCCGCAATGCAAGGAAGGGCGTCATCAATCTCCTTTTCTGTTCGATACATGGGACAGTACCTCTATAGCGTGGCGTGGCATGGTATGGAAGCAGACTGCTACCAATACAAATAGAATGACAAGGCAGCGCCGAACAGAGCAGAGAAGATAATACGATACTACTATCCCATACTCCGGCTTTGGACTGGGACGTCCGGAGGTCCGGACAAGAGTAGTACTGTAAAGAAGAAGGACTTTTTCTCATCGCCTGAGTGTGCCTGTGCTTGGTGTGCTCCCCAGAGATTCGAACGGCCTCTCGGAAGCCTGGTCTGTTCCGGCTGGCTGGCTTTTCTCTTCGCAAGTGCCTTTTTATCTCTAGCACGCTGGTCTTCTCTCACACATGGTGGATAATGCCACTCTCAGTGGTCACGACTGGTCTGGTGTATGCTGCATGCTGTAAGAAGCGAGTCCGACCTCCATCAGAGTCGAATGATGGAACTCTCGACAAATCCACACGCATCACGCTCGTACTTCCCACTTGCTTGTTCAGGCAGGGAGTCTTGCACGAATACTAACCGTGATCCCATCACCTCACGACGGCTCCCTTGAGCGTCTGTACCGTACACCGTCCCTTGCCCTCGACGACCAGCCATCCCTTCTTGTCCTTCTCGCCGTCAATCTCCACGCCCGGTCGACCCGCATCGAATCCAACCGCCAGATCGTCACTGGTGAAGAATCCCGGCTGCACACTCTCCCAGACCTTCTTCTTCGGATTTAGCTGCTTCTCTGGCCCCTTGCCCTCGCCGTACGGCCATCCCTCGAAGAACACTGCGTCACCGGCCTCCGCTCCCTCGGGCGGGTTGACCAGTTCCACAACACGATCCGCGGCGTGGGGGTCTGCTCCTTCCTCTGCTGGCGGAGAAGCGGCAAGGACCATCGCCGCCGACTTTATACTCCGCATGTTGACCGGCTTCAGGTTGGCCACGACCACCACTTTGCGGTTCTGCATCTCTTCTAGGGGGATGAGGCCGTTCAGCCCGGAGCACACTGTTCGAACCACCTTGCCTGTCTCCTCGTCGACTTGGGTGTGTTCGGTTCCTTCGGCGTCGCCCATCGCTACCGTCGACACGTACAGCGAGTCCGCGTTGGGGTGGGCTATGGCGCGGAGGATATGGCCGACTCGCAGGTCAATCAGAGCGGGCGAGACGGGTGCTGCTGGAGCGGCGGGGGCCTTGGGTGGTTTGGGCTGCTTGGGAGCTTTTTCTTTCTTGGGCTTGTTCGCGGGCGGGGCGTCGGGCGCAGCTGCCGAGGTGTTGGACTTGACGTTGTCGGCAATTTCATGATTCAGAGCTGCCTTGACGTCGGCGGGGACGTCTTTCTCAGGCGCTGACGAGTCCGCCATGGTCGTCGACGTGGATGGAGGTTTCGTGCGGCCAACGACGAGGGGCTTATGCTGTGCTGCGGCAGAGATTTTAGAGGGGGGAGTCGAGGTCACTTCGGACGTCATGGGTGATTTGACGGTCTGAGAGGGTGCGGTAGAAAGGGTTTTCTCACCACGCTCGCCAAGGTGAATGTCAATGGTAGAGCGCGCTCTCGCAGGTAGTCGTAGCGGAATGAAATTTTGGTGCCGTGACGGTGGGGTTGTTCCTCTCACTTGTGCGTGACGCTCGTTTCGGAATGTGGCACGCAACGAAGATATGGTATCAGCTCTTCGAACACGACTTCGCCGGGTCAATGGATGTGAGAGAGAGGAAGCGTGTGCTTGAGCGGAAGTGCCAACGACACTCGGGTATGACTGGTAGGCTTGATGCAGGTTCGAGCCTGGTGAAGCTGCTTGTGCGGAGTCATAAATATCAGTCTTCGACGTCCTTCCACCGACAAACGAGGCAGCCACGACGCGTCCATTCCGAACAAGGACCTGGGCAGGGCGAGGTTTCACGCGCGGCTTCAGAGCATGCATTGCCTCTCCAGAAGGCGAGGTGAAGTTTAGACGGAGATGAAGGGAGGTGAGGCTCTAGACTTGTGGAATCGGTAGCTGCCTCCTGAGTTAATCTTACGACGCCCTTACTTACACCTGTGGGCCATGAACTTCATCAACACTGAAGCCTGCTGGAAGTGATGCAGGAGGAGGTCGGTTGAACTTATGCTAGGCGCAACCGCCAGAGACCAATCGAGCATCAATTTTCATTACTGGCCCAGCTTACAGCGACAGATGCTCTGCCAAGCGAGGTCATCCACGTAACTGTAAAGTGGGAAGGATGCGAGAAGGAAGAGTTGATTCCTCTCACAAATAGCAAGATGCCTCATCAAGAGAGGGTCGATATCTGGTGCCTGCGCCCACGGCAACAGCTCTAGCTGAGGCCCTGGACGGCTGCACAGAATGCTTTTCGAGTGATTGCCAGTATCTACTCTTTGGTATCTTATGTAATTGCCATAGCAGGTGGAGAGGGCGGGTGGTATTGATAAGTCGTTTAGGGGGCTACTTCTTTGTCTTTGAACGGAGTGGAACAGGAGCCAAAGACTCTACTTCGCCGAGTGATCCCAGGGGCGTTGCTGGAACTGGTATCAGTGCAAGCGAACAGTTCCTCATCTTCATCTGATGAATGCCATTGCCTCTGCCTCGGCAGTCCAACCCACCCACTTGTGGGATTCACGCTCTAAGATAGACATCCTCCGGACAGAAACACGGGTATATCGTCCCAATGCCAACCACACAGGAGCTGCCCAAAGGGGTAGCCTCGTTGGGCAAGCCCGTCAAACACGGAGCGACACCACGACTCCATCGCATGTTGCTGTGCACTTGCAAACACGTGTATCGCGGTCCGCAAGGGGAACGGTGTATTCAGCAGTCCGCGGATCTGCATCTCTTCCGAGCCGAGGAACCTCTCTTTCGAAAGGAGGAACTCCATCGACCGAGCAATCAGTGTCGCAACATCCAAAGCTTGTCTCCGAATGGCGGCTTTGTCGGTCAAGCGAAGGATGGTGGAAGCGGAGGCAGAATCAAGCTCGGTGGGATTCAGAGAGGCGGGCATTGTTCTGAGGATATTATCATAGAGCAAGAGGAGCGTCGTCCAGTAGAAGAGATGCATCCGTGCGATCTGGAACGTCTGAAAGTGTAAGAATGTCGGAAACCCATTTTCAAGGTCCGTCCTGGGCACTGGGTCAGGCCAGGAGAGCGAGGAGCGCCGCTCGATGTAGAACGGCTCGGAAACCCTTCTTGTAAGGTCTTGATACCAATCTTTCAGTTGCTGGTGTAGTTCCCATCCCTGTTCCAGAAGCTCCCGTCTCTTTCCGATACACATGCCGGACTGCGATACTTTGTGGACGCGCTCCGTCTTGTCAATGAAATTCGGGACTTGCGCCATGATGTCCAGCAGATGGTGGAAATCCGTCTTGGACTGCCTGATCCATGGGATCGTCAGCCAGTCTGGCTCCGCTAGGTACGTCGGCTTGCGTAGAGCCAGGGCGTGGATGATCTGGGAAGGGCAATGAGCTGCTGTTCGCGCCCCCTTTGATTATGGGGTATTGAAACTCGAACACACTCACGGCGGTGGGTCGAAAGCCCAAGAACAGATGGTGACTCAGGTCGGCGACATGCAGCGATGGACCTCGAAGCTGGAATAGCCTCGAGATACCTTCGACATGGCTTGCCCACCCACAAACATTCCCTCCCGAAGGTTCCATCACCTATGCGTTCCCCGTTAGCCTCAGGACATACATAAAGTAGGACTGGGTGACAAGCCTCGAAAATGGTCAGAATCATGCAACTCGCCAGAGTCAGTTCCTCAAGGGCGAGACGGTCACTGGCGAGGATGTTCTGGACATCCTTCAGGGCTCTGCCGTATTTGGCCATCCCTTCACGCTGGAGTCGCTCGTCGCCGCTGTCTCCTCCCAGACGGACCATATTCAATATTGCGGACATGGCGAGATCTAGCGAGGAGTGCCTCCGTCGCCAGGAGCCAATGGCCTGTAGCCACGACATGGGGGCCTCGTAGGTGTTGTTCTCCTGGATTTCATCAGGGGAGCCGTTGTATATGAAATCCAGGAACAAGTCCGGTGCCTGTGAGGCACCATTTCCCGGATTTTGAGCGTCTTGCTCGTTGGACCGCGCGATGTCGCGACTGTTCTGATCCTGTTCAGGTACGGTCAAGTGGCTATAGAGCATACCCGACAGCTCTGTCAGTGAAGTCAGAGGCTGGCTGCGTGCCAGCAAAGCGTCGTGATCGAGAGCACTGAGATGCCTGAACTGGCAGGCTCGTCCATAACCTTCACAGACACGGCCCGCCTTTCTGCATCGACCGCACGTGGGTTTTTCGCCCTCACACTGCAGACCACTTAGTCTCCGTCTCAGTGGCTCTCTGGGCAGACGGTAGGGGCCAGCAGTTGCAAGAGAGGATGATGCGGCGAACGTACCCGAATCTTCCGTTTCTTGCAGGTCTTGCAAGCGTTCGACTTTCCCGCAACGCCCACCATGGCTACAAGGGTACGCTCGGCCTCCTGAGGGGGCCGCCGTGTGAGTCTCTGGGCTTTCGTCTCGGGAATATAAAACGATGTACTCCGTACTGTCCAGTGTGAGCACCGAGTTGCTACGTTCAGAAAAGACGACGTCCAGGGGATGTCAGTCTCCAGGTCAGGCTCCCGCCAAGCAGTGTAAATATGGAGTATTTACCTCAGCAGTGCCCACTGCATTCTGTACACAGTAGGTCCAGCTATCAAGCATCCCGGGACGAGAAAGTCCCCACATAGATAGGTACCTTTACTGTACGAGTAGAAGCAGACATCTTCCAATATTAGATACAGGCGTCAATATCAGGCTCCCCAAACCAGCATATTTGGATCTCTCTTCTACAACTTCCGCTGCCAAGCAATCTGTGCCCTGTCAAGCCAGTACAATCCGCTGTCCGCCGAATCTGTAGCCTCACTCGACGCTAACTACCCTCTCTCTATGTAGCGCTTGCTTCTTTTCAGCCCAACGCTTCACAGCGACCAAGGCCATACACCAGGCCATAGATGCAGCCGTCACGCTCATTGCCATGGTCGCAACGACCATCGCGTTGACATCATACTCAATCATAGCATCAATTGTGTCTCGGTTCTGATCAACCCGGGCAACATTAGTGGCTGTCATGTGGGAACTACGGGAAATTCAGGGGTAGACCTACGCTAGCCATCAGCATGATGCCTGCCGCCATCAAACAGAACGACGTGACACATTCTGAGGGAGTCCGAGAAGGCGACGTGGATGTGGGAGGCGCCAGATACAGCATTAGGTACGTAAGACATCTTGCAGCTGATGCTCCTGTGAGGAGGTTTCCAACCTTTCCATAGGTGAGCTATGGTGGCAGGGACGGCGAAGCAGGGATACTTACCCATTGATGCATCATGGTAGACTGGACGCTGGCCTGTTGGTGGCCCCCAAGGATTCTGCCCAAGAGAAAAATGATCAATGGATTGATGGGATTGATAGAGTACCCAGGCGTTAAAGTCCGCTTCTCCTCGATGGTGTGGGAGGCGCCCTGCGTAATCGGCGACGTCCTCGCCAACCTTCCATAACCCTGATGTTCAATCATGATTCCGCACTAGATCAAAGTCAGTATGATTTCTCAAGGCCTGTCGCAGGGGCCATCGTGGGAATCACCAATCCGCCACCAATAAACAAGACCGAGATAGCCACATGCTCGAAGTCCTGCGCCACCCAGCGTCCTCCCCATTCCGATAGGTGCTCGAGAAAAACATTCATGATGCCATAAATGAAGATAAGAGAACTTTCCAGCCATTCCATGGTGATGAATCGACCAGGCCCATGATGGTGAGGTCCTGCGGCGTGTTTGTTGTTCCAAGCCCGTCCGATGCCCGAAAAGCCGCTCATCCAGCGCCACAGAGTTATGACGCCGAAGCCAAAGAAGACTCCGCCCTTGATAAAATGCGCTAGGCCATTGAATATGTGTTTGCCGTGCTAGGAAAGGTCAGCCTGCCTAGAGAAAGAGTCGAAAGGGGGCGAGACTTACGAATATCCCCGCCATTGTAACTAGCCCGGTGCAAATAGTCACGAACATTAAGATCACCAACCCGGTGCTGAATGTCACTGATGTCTTCGCCATGATTGAATCGAGCGGCAGTGATCCAACGAACTTGAACTCGCGTTTAATCCAAGTGCCGTTCTTACGGTGCCGTCCACCAAGCACGGGGCGCCAAGGCCGAAGGAGAATCCCGGACATGTTTCGGAGGCTGCTTCCGTTGGCGCCCGTCCCTTCTCCAGATCGGTATGGTGCACGGTGTGGGTTGGAAGTTGCTCGATCACTCCGGTCCTCGTAAAGATACTCATCGGAACCATTCCATGATGCCGACGGTGACACTAGCGGCTCCTCTTCGTGATATGCCGTGACGGGCATGCCTCTCGTGTGCCTGTAGCTTAAGTAGCTTCTCAAGATTCTCGCGAGGAATTGAGAAACAGCAATCCCTGTCAACGCCCAGCCAATCTTATGGTGTACGCTGCCGGGATAGAGGTTCAGAGTTTTGCTGTTGTATGCCAGCCCAAAGACTATGCCGATGGCGTTCAATCCCAAGAAGAGCACTTGGGAAGGGTACGCAAACCTTGACCCCGCAAGATCCAATGTCACAACTGGGACTATCAGCTCACAGACAACGGAAGAAATTGGAAGCAAAGTACCTACAAATCGGAAAACATCCTATCCACGCCAGCAGCATCAATCCAATATGGCCATAAAGAATACTCGGGAAGGTTGGTTCTCTGAAGTAGCTTTGAGCAGTTGAAGGGAGAGACGTGGCTGCAATATTTTCATCGACACGAGACTGGATGTCTTTGGCCATGACAGGTAAGGCTCCGAGAAAGCAGGCAACCGGATAAAGTCGTAGCCGGAGACGCCCCATCCTGAAACTGACGCGACCGACAACGTGACACTTGACGACAAGATTGCAGACGATGCTCGGAGGACTGGGCTGACGAGGGACATGTTTCGAGGGGGGTTCGCAATTTGATATATGGACTCCATACAGTGAGCAATTCCCAAGAATCAATACCCGCCTATCTGGTAGTTACCTATCAGGATCTGAGTTGAAGGAAAAGTGGTCAGGGCCACCTTGACGCCGCCAGAGGTCGCATCATGTTACTCCTTGAGTGCAGTGGCCACTTGTAAGGCATCTTCGATACGGCATTGATCCAAAGATCTTCAACAGCCGGTGGGGATGTCGAGGCTGGAAGGGTACGCGTCCTGGTTGTATGTTGAGTCTGAAGTCCAGGCGCATCCGGCCTTGCCAAGGCCCAGTGATGCGCTAGTCCTAGATAGGCAGCATCTTCCGAGGCACGTGATCGTATTTGTCGCCCAGTACTCCGTCGTCGTACCTAATACGAAGTAATCGCACAGTCCAGTGACCGGCCACGCGAAATTACTCTTGCTCTTCGCCTTCGAGCTTGTTGCCACATATGCCGGTAATGTTTCGATAAGGCTCCGGACAGAGTTATTCGATTAAAGGGTCCGGTGGCTTCAGGGGGGAAGAGACCAACAATTCAGGCTCGAAGGGGAGTCTCTTTTCGAACTGCGAATGGTGTCAGAGAGGAGCGCATGACGGGCACGAAGCAGCATTGGTTACGTGCTCCATCACCGGACGCCTGGATATGAAGCGGTCGTGGTCGGCGTAGTAGGATCGTGGTTGCTCAGAGCGCTCGAGTCAGCCTTGCCATCCAAGTTGAAAGGGCGTGATTCATATTGGTGGCGTATTTGCTGAAATGTACCAGCACGGTTGGAGGACGACGTACAGTCCCCAGCTGCCTTAGGGCGCTTAGGCTGAAGCAAGGCAAACATGATGGCTGGTGCTGAGGATCCGCCTGCAATTAATCATGAGGGAAGTGTCGCACACGCTGGAATTGTGAACGGAGGCTTCAGTATTTCTTGGCCGCTCATTGGCTTTGCCACTCGCCGGTTCATGCGACTACTCCGCCGGAATCATTGTTTGCATTCTCACCATCTGGTCCAACATCGTCTCCTGGCCGAAACGAACGGAGAAAGTTGAGGATATTGACAGGAAGCAGGAAGTGACTGAGTAAACTTAGCTTTCTGTTTTGGACATTATTGTGATCCTTCAACCTCAGTCACGAAGCCATTCACAACCGCAACAACAACATTCGACCACATCTCCAGGAAGCCGCAAGAATGAGAAGAATTGAATCAACGGCCACAAGGCAAAAAGTCGGGGGTGTCCAAACCGAGGAGCAGTGCTGGGAGATACCAACGGTTAATACGAGCATGGTATCATATTAGTAGTTTCCACCCTTGGACTGATGCTTCCTGTCACCCCGAACCAGCATACGAGATGACCTGCTTGAAGCAGTCCGGTCCATCGTTGTCCACCTGGGCCGTTTTCGAATTGAAGAACACTTTGATCCCCCAGTCACGCACTTGAATCCACAGTGGCTGAGTCTCTCCTTGATGTTCGACGTTAGAGAGATGCCCAAGAGAGGAGAGACGTGGAGGCAGTTTCCGTGTTCCACCGTATATTTTGCCAAGCCGTTCTAAGACTACAACATAGCCAGGCCACCACGTTATTATCAGGTACCCACAACAGATTGCAAAAAATTTTCAAAAACAATCAACAGCCAGGATTCCCAAGTGGTCACCCACCTTAGTACTAACTGACCGGCATGTGGCTTAAGTACGGCTGAGCGAACGGGAAGCCCTGTTTTCCACAACCTATGGTCGATTGCGAACGATAATGTAGGAATGCAAATTATATCCCTAAAACACTCGTGCCTATCGAGCTTGTTTGTACTACTGACGACGGGATCATGATGCTCGGGGCACTGGGACCACCATGTCTTATAGACTAGGGTCACACAAGCTTAATTGCAGGAAAATCCTCATCGATCGGCTTCACTGGCTTGAACGGAAAACGACCACCAAGCTCGTTCATGGGAGTTTTGATCTCGAATCAAGAGTATTCAATGTATCTGGCACATCAATTTTTGTATGGAACAATATCCACAGATACAAGGCAGGCTACTTTGGGGTGTAATACCGGCGTCGTCAGATCTCTGGAACCTGCTGTGTTGCACAATGGATGCCGCCGCCCGTCCTCGGTAAAATGTTGATCGGCACCTGCACTACCTCCCGTTCGGGAAACAGCCTTCTGAACAACTCAAGGGCTGCAGTATCCTGCCGTTCCTGCCCGAATTTGGGCATGACGACGCCTCCATTGACAAGCAGGTAATTCGCATACGATCCAATGACTTCGTTGTGCTTGTCTGGTGGTCCGAGCTGTGTGATATCTGGTTCCTCACAGTCGTGTACTGTTAGCGCACGGCCCTTTCCATCTCTCGTGTCCCTCAGAATAGAGAGCGCGGAGTTGTAGACGTCGACGGCGGTGGGATGAGCGTTCCGGCCGGGCTTGCTCAGAAGAACGACGCCGGGTGACGTGAAACGTGCTAGCGCGTCGATGTGGTAATCTGTGATGTCGTAGGCTTTGACGCCAGGGATCCAGATGAAATGTCTAACTCCAAGCAGGTCTCTGAGCCGGGCTTCGACGTCGGATTTGGAGAGACCCGGGTTGCGGTTGTCGTTGATGATACTACTTTCCGTGCCGAGGAAGGTGCCTTCACCATCGTGCTCGATGCCGCCTCCCTCCAGTGTGAGATTTGAAGCCACTGAGGGTTCATTTGCGTGGGCAGCGATCTGGGAAGCGATGTTCTCGTCGCCAATGGAGGGAAGTTTGCCGCCCCAATAGTTGAAGTTGAACTTGATAGCTGTCCGTTTGCCTGTGGAAAGGTCTTGTACAAAGACTGGTCCGCTGTCACGGATCCAGAGTTCGCTGACTGTAGCCGGCTTTACGGAGACACCTGCCTTCACCATGGACTTTGCCTCTGGGATGAGCTCCTCTTTGGCGTAGAGATGGACGGGTTCGAACCGGGAGATAGTATTGGCAATGTTCGTTACTTCGATTTGCAGTGCTTCCAGGTGCTCTGTGCTTTCGGCCGACTCCCTGCTGGGGAAAGCCATCAATGTATGTGAGTGGCGCGCGCTTTCCGCTGGCATGAGAAAGCGACCATGCTGGGTGGCTGCCGAGAACGTTGGGGCTGGCATGTCTGAGACCAGGTTCATACTTGTCATCCTTGATGAGAGAATCGTCTTCGCCGGTCGGATTCTAGGTATCGTTTGGCCGAGTGATGTGGTTTGGATTTTGTGATGCTGGGAAAGCAGACGGGATATACGCCGTGCAAGATGCCATGAGGGCGTGGGATGCATGTGGCCGGTAGCACGGGTCTTCGGACCTACTGTGACAACTAGGGTCATCAGGGTATTCTCATTGTAGAAGTTTGTCAAGGTCTCCTGTCAGAGCCTCGACAACTGGGGATGGAATCGTTCCGACGTTTGACGCGCAGGCGCGTTCGGCAGGACATTCCGGATCGGGTTAGATCAATATAGAGAGGGGGTTTGCACCGAGCCCGCATCTGAGGAAGTTCTGCCTCTCCCGCCCTGCCTATTGACAGGACAGGTGTTTCCGTCGTGTAATGTGGCGGGGGCATAGCGACAGGCTGTCGGAAATGAGCGAGGGGAGGCGACAACAGCATTCTCTCGACCGGCCTCGTGAGGTTTCTTTTGTTTCCTTCCGTCCGGTCAGATTCATCAGTCATTCACTGGGCGTGTGTACAGTATTCTGCCTTTTTATACTGCCTTGCTGCGTGCACAGGACTGACAATCGAACCGTCCCGTGTCTATCCTGATTCAGAGGGACAGAATCTCCAGGCAGCCCTTAGCCGCGATCCACTCGAGATACAGCTTCGAGTAAATGCCCCTCCTCTGGCTCAATGAGCATGTCGTTTCATGACAGCATCGTCGACGCGACAATCGCCGACTTATCGACTGCACTAGCCAGTGGCAGACTGACATCCGTGGAGCTGGTGGCCAAATACCTGCTCCGCATCAGCGCCTATGATTGCAGAAACACGGCTCTCAACTCAATTCCCCTGATCAATGAGCGCGTGTTCGAAGAAGCAGCCGCCGCTGATGATCGCCGTGCCGCTGGCCATGCCCGAGGCTCCTTGGAAGGAATCCCTTTCACGGTCAAGGACAGCTACAAGGTCCGTGGAATGACTGTAGCTAGCGGTTCGGAAGCGTTCCAGAACCTCGTTGCCAATGAAGATGCGTTCACCGTGAAGGCTCTGCGCGAAGCTGGCGCCGTCTTGTTGGGTCGGTCGAACATGTGTCCCATGGCATATGGGGGAATGCTTCGGGGTGTATATGGTCGAGCGGAGAGTCCATACAACAAAGACTATCTCCCTGCCGCCTTTGGATCGGGATCCTCCAATGGCAGTGGTGTGTCTGTGGCAGCTTCCTTTGCTGCGTTCGGTATGGGCGAGGAGACTGTTTCCTCTGGTCGCTCTCCTGCCTCGAACAATGCTTTAGTGGCTTACACTCCTTCCCGGGGCCTCATATCAATCCGCGGCAATTGGCCGCTATACCCTACCTGCGATGTCGTTGTTCCCCACACACGCACCATGAGCGACTTGTTCGTTCTGCTGGATGTGCTTACCAGGCAGGATGCGGAGACAAAGGGCGACTTCTGGAGGGATCAACCGTTCATCCAGCTGCCACACTCCCCCTGGCCTGACGGTTCAGAGCCTTCGACCGCTCCCAGAAATGCAGGGTACCTCAAAGGAAAGCGAATCGCAGTTCCGCAGATTTATCTCAAACACCAGGATGGTGGACCGTATATCTCTGAAGCAGTAGAACCGCTCTGGAGGCAAGCACAAGCCGACCTCGAGGCGGCCGGTGCAATCATCGAGATCATTCCCGAACTCCCAGTCTTGCACATCTACGAGCAGATGCTGCGCAGACCAAACGCCGGAAATGCTTCTTCGCCTCTCCCCTATCTGCCAGACGACTGGAACGCCACCGAGCGAGGTCTACTTATTGCTCATACCTGGGAAGCCTTCCTGCAGGACAATGGCGACCCTCATATCCAATCTCTGACCCAAGTGAACCCAACAGTTATCTTTCCTCACCTGCCCCGAGATGATCCCCAAGTCAAATTTACCGAACCGGCCAATGCCGTTCATTGGGCGAAGTTAGCCAGCTATGTTGCTGACCGCACGCCCTCGACAAGGACCGGCAAGAGTGCCATCTATGATGTTGCTCACCTCGAGGATGCCGTGAGAGCTCTCGAGCAAATTCGAGTCCGGTTCTTCGAGGAGTGGATGTCAGCTCAGAACTACGACTTTGTCGCCTTTCCCGCTGCAGGCGACGTTGCCCGTGCCGATGCCGACATTGACGACAGGAGCGCACGGCATGCCTGGACGGACGGCGTAAAGTATAGCCACGGCAATCGAGCTCTGCGACACCTAGGCATACCCAGTGTGACGGTGCCGATGGGGATCTTCGAGAATTCAAAAATGCCGATGAGTTTGACGTTCCTCAGCAGAGCTTATGATGATCTCAGCTTACTGCAAGCTGGGTATGCATACGAACAGAACAGCAAGAGAAGAGTTGTGCCGCCGTTGACGCCACCTTTGACGTCGGATGCCATCGCGAAAGATGGCCAGGTATTTTCGCATCCTCGACCAGAGTTGTCAATCACGAAATGTCGGACGACTCCTGCTCAAGATGGTAACATTCGCGTGTCCATTGAAGGCGCGGTGTCTGTCGCGCCAGGCTCTGGAGACTACTTCGATCCAACTCTGGAGATATACATCGACGGCGAACATGTCCCTGCACCGGTGTTGCTGGTCGAAACGCCAACAGCTCTCGGTGCGAGCCCACCGATCTCCAAATTCGTTTGCGAATACTCGGTGCCTTTACCGCCGGAACAAGACTGCCGCAACCGCGTTGTTGGTGAGATCGCCAGAGACAGCACAATGGTCTTGATCCTCGCTAGGAACGGCGCAGGGAGTCGACCGTCGGGATATGTGAAATTGTTGCATCACGGGAAGCAAAAGGACATCCTGGAGGTTTAGAAGATCCATGCAATATTGCGCTTTGTGAGATAGGCTCGTGTGGAAACTTAGGCCTAAATCCAGCTTCTCGAAGCAATAGACGCGGGCGCAGGTTGCGCACCAGAGCGGACAGATTAGTGTTCTCCGTCCAAACTGTCATGTCTGGCTGTTCACCACGCACGTCGAAGAGGACAAGTATATGCTGAAGACCAGTCAAGCACTAGTCTGCCAACTAGGAGTCCTGTACGGCGAGGCGCGCCAAGAGATCCCGCCTGCCGTGCTTGCCGCCTGGGCTGTGGGGAGAATAGATTGGTAGGCGGCCGCGCCCCTGGAGCAGCATTTTACTTTAGTGGTTCGCTAGAGAGGTCAGGGTGCTTCCCAACCATGCATCTTCGGGTAAGGTGCGACCGGCCTTTACAGCACAGCACTGGTGAGCCCGGTCTTCTCAGCATAGTACTGGCTGGGTTGGTAGTGCCGCTGGTCCTGGATAAGGTGATGCTCCGACAGTTGAGACTCCAGGTTGGCCGCTGTGCCTAAGCCCCGCTAACTTTGACTCCAGCTCGCTTGCCAATCCGCTTTCTAATCACGGAGGCTAGGGGACTCGTCCGCTTATTGACCGAATCGCGGGCTTGGACGTGTCCTGGAGACTCCTCCCGTCAAGTTGATAAACAGTTGCAGCTGCAGGATGTTATACGAGACGCCACTGGCCGTGTCGTCTGGCCATGCTTTCGATCGTAGATGGGGAATGCCAATATCAAAACTTCTCCCGCGGTTGCTATTGAGTGGTTCCAGTCAAGATTGCGCAGTACGTCAACCTCCGAATCGAAGCATATTCGCCCTCCGTTTGCTGGGTGACTCTACCGTGCTTTCAACCTTCACAAGGACACATGGATCGCCCAGGCCTTCTCTTTGTCCACAAGAACCCGTCATTGGGGTCGCTATCTTGCAGCAATAAGCAAGAGAAACAGGAAATTAATCGCCACGTGCAGCTTGGCCGAAAGCACGAGCGCTACAAAAAGCTAGTCTGGGATCGATGGCATCTGCCGTTCCTCTTTCGAAGGAATAGCAGCCCGCTGTGTTCACAGCCTGCAGCAACAATCAACATCCCCAGGAGGGCGTCCGAGAGTTTTGGCTGTGACGCTGATGGAAACACCACACAGACAACGCACGAGCAGCGGATGCCCTCGCTCCAATCTGGCCCCGCCACCAAGGACAGACAGAATGCTTCGCAAACCAGCATGGACTCCGCCCCAGCATTGCGATCATTGCCAGAGACCCCATTTCAGATGATCCCGTACAACCCCACAATGACTGCACCGGAAAACACGCATGCCGTCCGGTCGAATGCGGTTCGGTATCAATGGAAGCGCTCCAAGGAGGTGCGTCCGAGGGGGAGGAAATCAAGGGTGCCGAAGTCTTTCCCCCCGTCGTCCCAACAGCCTTCTGGAAATCGACGAATGCGAGATGTGAGGGACCATACACAGCCTGGTCAGACCGATCACGATTCTAGAACGACAGCAAGCGAGGACCGAGAGTTGATCAGAGTACCTCCGCCCAATGGGGACAGCTCGCTACAGCCGGGAGGATATCCCACAGAGCTCCCGTCCAAAGCAGTGGCTCCCCTGCTCCACCTCGGTAGGTCTTCACCATTGATATTTGAAGCCGAATGCCTGGACGCCTCAGGAGGGCTAACGATATGCAGTCTACGTAATTACTAACAGGACATTCGTCGGTGACCAGGCACAACCCATGTCGGTTGTGGCGGCCCGATACGTCCAGCAAATGTGTTCACATCCAGCCTCGTTCCATGCTGCGGTCTGGGTGTGTGCAAAGGGCATGGTTGACAAGTGCTCGACCAGCCAATCTGCCACCAAGCATAGACGGTTTCTCGATGTATGTCACAGTATCGCCGTGAAGTCGGTCATTCAGATGATATCTGATCTCGGTGACCACAATCACCCGATGCCGACCAATGAACTGGGCATGCTCTGCTCAGCCATGCAGTCGCTTGCGCTAGGGACCACTGAAGACGTTCCTGTGCGTGCAGCTCGAACAGGGCCGCGACAAAGCACGCTGACGAAGCTCCAAAATCTCCACCTCTGGGGAGTTGCGCCTCGCTGGTTGAACTACCATGAAGAGGCGGCTCGACGAATCTTGCACGCTAACGAGTCCTGTATGGACCCTTTCTGGGCCGGCCTAAGGATCTGTCAAACACAGTGAGTGACATGTAGACCAATGAATAACCCGCAAGGACCCAGCGCTAAGCTCAAGTCTCGCTAGGAATGACATTATCTCGTCGTGTCGGACATTGACGAAGCCACGATCGCCATGCTGGTTCCTCAGTGCCGACTTCGCCGACCAGTACAACAGGATCATGGTAGAGATGGAGCCCAGACACTCCCCTGGCTTCATGAAGTATGCAACCACTCTATCCCTCACCGTGTCTGGACCTCTCATGGCTGTAATCTCCGAGGCAATCCTCTACGATAGCATTCAAGAAGCCTTCCTCTCAAACAGGCTCACTTGGTTCGGCGTTCAATACGTGTGCGATGCCCGGAATTGGACACAGCACCAGATCATGTCGCTGCCATCCAGCGCAGAAACATCAACGCTAACTCTGCACACTCCTCAAGCCGTTGTATTCGACGCGGTCCGTTATGCTCTGATTGTCTACAGCCTGATCGCAATCCTCCCCTTGCCCCTATGCTCAGTTCCGTTCCCAGAACTAGCTGATAGGCTCGAGCCAGCAATTTCCCAAACCCTTCAGTACGGCGCGGAGGCTACATCAACAACACTGCTCCTATGGATATCGTCGATGGCCGCATTGGCTGCAATTGGGACGCCTAAGCGCGCGTCTCTCGTTGCATTTGCTGCTCGTCTCTGCCGGAATCTGCGTATTGATTCTTGGGAGTCAATGCAAACCATACTCCAAGACTATTTATGGTCTGGAGATATCAGCGATTTCGATGGCATGTACCTGTTTTTAGAGGTGCAGAAGCATATGTTTGAGCAAGACGGTGGGACGGGCGATGTACTTGAATACGAAATGGCCTGATGCTGTAAATTACGAGTTGACATTCAACTCGACTGGCCGAATAAGGACTCCAGCGGCGTCCTTCGCCCCTCCAAGTCTCCAAACATGGGAAATGCGGTATCAAAGCGCCCCAAGTATCGTGGATCTCTGCCTCCTTGGACGGGCTGCTCTGCCGGTAAGCGCTCTAGCCTATCCTTGCCTGGCTTCACCGTGGTTAACGATCGTCTAGGCGTTCATGTCTGCCCAGTTAAGGCGGTTTCAAGTAGCTGGTTTCGACCTTCGTCAGGCCCTAAACTCCTCCACTTGCTTCTTCGGCAAGTGGTTCACTCCGGTATTCTTGGGCGAGCTATGGAGACCAACTGCTTCTACCAAGACTTCTATGAGTATCTTGGCTTCTGTGCTTGACACACCTGGCTGAATACGCTGGCTGGGCACTGTACAAAGTACCTCTGGAACACATCGCTTCGAGCTTGATTTCTCAGAGAAGATCTGAAACTCATTGTTCGAGCCCACTCACTGCCTGATGGGCGTCTGCTCTTCATAAATCTGCTTCGGACTGAACGAGGGCATCGAACCATTTAGACATCTATCGGTGGTTGAGTTTGACTGGTTTTCAGAACAGCCCCTTCGATCCGGACAACGGGCGGATGGGTAACTTCCTTGCATTTGGGTTGATTACGTGCCACAACACCATAGACCCGGCAGAAGTGCCCTAAAGTATTGGCATTGCATAAACGTCGACATGCAGCAAGCAAGAAACCTACCATCCGACCAAACTACGAGGAAAGCTACCCGTGAAGCAGGCACAACGACGATCGTCGAACTCAGCTGAACAGCTAAACAGCTAAACAATGTTTGCGATGCGCTCCTGGACAGACTTGTCGGTCCTGCAAGCATCGTTCTCGTGGTACCCCTGTCGCAAAAGGTGGATCTCCATGCACAGGGGATCTAGACCAACATTATTGGCAAACTATGCCCCTTTCTGATAGTACATTCGACCACTTCGATTGGTGGACTGCCACCACAGTTCACGGCCAGGGTTGACGGCAATCGATCCATGCGGGTCACAAGGTCTGAGCCATGAGCACCTGTCATCTACTACCCGTTCTCTAATGCGGCCCTTGAGATTCGAGGGCGGCCTGCAACGGCTCAGATCAGACCGTAAACCCCCCTTCTTTGATGCTCATGGCCGATTATAATGCCACGCATCCTGCAGACCCAGTCGATGAAAGGCAACGAGTAACTGACGACCAGCAAGTCCGCGACCCGGATCCAACCTCGCAAGAAGACGATGAGCTGAATGCTGCCAGTCGCCCTGAACACCGCCGCAGACGCACTCACGGTAGAGACGCTCGACAGCACAACATTGTTCCTGCCAGAACAGGGCCTGGCTTGGCGGCATCGGGGCGCGCGGCACATGGCAGCACAAATCGAGCCTTACAGCACGTTGTGAGGCAGCCGGGAGGGAGATTTGACTCTTTCAACACGTTGCCGTCCGGAGCGGACGGTGCTGACTTTGTCGCCAAGCTCGTGCTCTACGGTGAGTAAGACGAGGCGGTCGAGCTCCGGCGCGGAGACCTTATGGGAGGCAGATGTGCTGACAATCTGTTGGCAATCACAGCTCACCACCAGGTGTACTCTAACTTCTTCGTGGGCGAGGTCAAAGACACAAGCGTCCTCCCTTACACCAAATATGCACTCCACCACGAACACGCTTACTGGGGTGCAGCGTGGTTCTCCTGCACCAGTCGAAGATGGCTGGCAGGTCAATCTATGCAGCACACACCGCAGGAGTTGTTCTTCTACACCAAGTCGCTAGAATCACTACGACAAGCGTTGAGTGACCCGACGCTTGCCACACACGAGAGCACCATTTCGACAATCTTACACCTTTCATTCCCGCCATATCTGCCCCACGTGGACAGGAGCATGCCTCGTCCGCGACAGTCGAATTTTAAGACATGGAACCTGCTGCATTTGGCCACGGGGCTCAACGTCGCCGAGGAGCACATGCTCGGCCTTGCCGCGGTGGTCAAGGTGCTCGGTGGCGTCCAGAACATCCAGAGCGCTCAGATCCGACGCTCGGTATGCTTGTGAGTGTAGTGTCGCTCGCTCGCTCGCTGGAGAGGGGCAGACAGAGGGCCTCCTGCGACACAATGCTGACGTCTGCAAGTCAGGGCATCCACTTCTCCGGCCGCCACCTGAAAGCCCCTCTCTTCCCCTTTGCCAGCCTCCACCCGGTCGACCAGCTGGTCCACGCGTCCCGACTGCGCCGCTCACGGCACGCCTTTGACCCTGTATCTGCCGAGACAAGTCGCAGGCGTGGCACCGGATTCGACGACATTTCCTTTCCGGAAGTGCTGCCCCTAGATACCACCCCGCAGCCGGCCGTGGTGTGGGCGTACCTCGCGGACATGACGACCATCCTGGAAGACTACGCCTCAGGAGGCTCCATGCAGAGTCAAACATCCGTAATTCTCGACCAGATGCAGTTCACGCAGCACAGCCTATTATCACTTCCCCCGGCAGCGGATCTTCAACGTCAAGGGAGGCAAGAAGAGCACGAGCACGAGCACGAGCACGATCAAAGAGGGGGCATGGCGACCCGTCTCCAACTCTACGAGATCACGCGCTGGGCATGCATATGCTACGCCAACCTCATCACCTATCCGACCGACTATTCGACATTTCCACGCCTCCGCCTGGCAAGGCTCCTCCTGCGTGAGCTGAACATGCTGTATGAGACGAGCATGATTGCCCAGCTGACTCGGCCGGAGCAACGCCTCGTCTTCTGGGCCACAGTGCTCGGCGCCATCAAGGCCGTCGGGTACGACGATGAGAGAGCGTCGTTCGTCGCCCTGGTCGCGCGGTCCGCTGGGGATGCGAAGGTCCGGTCGTGGACGGAGGCGAGGGCCGTCATGGAGTCGTTCCTGTGGCATGGTCAGACTAGTGACCCGGATGCGCTGAAGCTTTGGGTTGAGGTGCAGAGGGTCGCGAGACCACATGCGGCCGAACTGAGGTTGCCGGAGCGGATGGCCGGAGCGGAGAGGTGAAGATGCTGGCTGTCATATAAAAGAACAACGAGTTTGTAGTTCGAATCTTGAACGGCGTGTTTTGGAGAAGCCTGAACATTGGAATAATGAGTAATGAAGATTGAGTGACGGTTGATGTTGATGTTGACATTGAACACGGAACATTGGTCCATGGACATATGTCATGATTATCTTACTCGTCATGTATCATGCAGTATCCGTCATCTGTTCCAGGATGGAACATGGTACCAGGTAGGTAGATGACTGATGAGGACGACGGGTGCTTAGTGCCGTCTGTAATGGGCGCAGTCGTGAGTCGACCCAAGGGGTATCGCATCCTAAGTACTACGTACATACATACATAAGGAGGACATACACAAGGAGGACATACACAAGGAGGACATACACAAGGAGGACATACACAAGGAGGACGTACATATATACCTATACCTACAGAGTACAGGCTATATCGGATAGATCTGCCATATACTACAGTATTCAGGTTGCTCTACTATTGTATAGGGTACCCTTGAAACCGCCAACAGAACCTTCAACCTTCAACCTTCGCGCCAACTATGTAATGTAATGCAAAGTGTGAGCAGTGAAGCGACCTTTCTCCTTTGCGTATCAGAAAGATGCTACCCCTGATTGACCTGTTTACACTATGTTGCATGCGGCGATTGAGACTACAAGGTATCTTCCGTGCGTGCGTGCCTCCGTAAATGTATTAGCTATACATACAACAGAACGGCCGGGGGATCATATAGCGTGCTTTCAACGGAGGAATGGAAGGGTATTTACACTGTGGTACTGTCAGGAAGAGGTCCACAGCTCCTGGGGATTGCCCCAAAAACACTGGGAATCATGGCAATTCATGCCTGAGTCTCGGACCTCTTAGCTTATATGCCTGTCTGAACCCTGTTCATGACAGATTCTCGATCTTGTCAGGCGATCCTCAAAGGCTGTAGACCTCTCCTGAGACGTACCTATACTGTGGTACTGTAGTACTGTAGTACTGTGGTACTGACTCCTCTAATTATTCTGTGTATCGGTAGGAACTACTCTACTCTACTCTACTCTACTATTCTATGCTGTACTGCAGTGTATCTCATCTGGACTTGTCTCATCATTCTCATTTACATACTATACGTACTATATTCTAGATCTAGTTCTAATTCCCACTAATTATAACAAGGCGTCAAACTCCGGGTTCACCCAGCCCGGCGTCCCGGTCTTGGATCTCAAGACTGGACCGTATTTATGCAGGATGCCAAAGATAGGCATGGCTCCGAAAAAGACAATGAGGCCCTGCGCGGCGAAGCACCAGGTCCAGCCCGAGTCTAGTTGCCAGGGGGCGATGAAGAACTAAGATGGCGCTCAGGTCAGCAAGTCTGTTCGTCTAGGTGTTGGTTGAATCGGAAAGATGAAACAGTCGTAGGCAGTAAGCAGTAGGCAACAGACAGTGGGTAGCAGCTATCGAGGTGCAAGGTGCCACACGCAACACGCAAGACACAACATAACAGAGTGTAGACTTCACTTACCGGATCAATAAACGCCGACAGGTTCAACAACACGGCGTAAAACGTGATGATGCTCATGCTTTGCAACGGGTAACAATCCACGATATAAGCACACACGACCGTATTGCCCATCTGGATACCCGCGGCGAAGAGGAAGAACGCCACCTGTCCGACCATCCAATGGTACGCCTTGTCGACGCTGATGCCCCAGATGATCAGGCCGACGGCGCTCAACACGCCCGCCGGGTAGATCAGCCAGAGACGCATCTCCGGCAGACGCACGCCGCCATTTCGTCGGGCGAGACGCGTGCACACAATGTCGCTGAGGTAGCCTCCCAGGAAGACTTCGGCGAACAGGGTGCCCAGGAGGAGTCCGAGGAAGAGCAGGCCCTGGATTTGCGGCGTGTAGTCCAGGTAGGCGGCCGGCAGCATGGTGATGACGCTGAGCACCCACCAGTACCACAGGAAGCAGTAGGTGAAGACGGCGATGGAGACGGCGAGGAACTTCCACGTCAGGATGAATCGGAGCACCGCGTCGTACACTGCTGGGTGTCGCATCCCGGGCACGGGCTTGTAGTTGATGAAGGCGAGTTTTTTGGTGCGGGAGAGGTGAACCTCGCTGGCGTCACTTCGACGACGGCCCACTTTCTCGATATCCACGGCCGTCTCGTCCGCCGCGGTCGCCATCGGGAGCTTCGACAGCATATGGTTCCGCGGATACAGAGTCTCGGGCATGAAGGCCAGTTCGAGGACGATGAGAACGCCGAAGAGGATGACGGTGAACCACTGGATCCATTCCGCCGAGACGATGTTCAGGAACCCGCCGAAGATCGGGCCGACGAGCAGGCCGCTGTCGATGGCCAACACCCAGAGCCCGATCTTCTGACCTCGCTGGTGCTCGTAGAACATGTCGTTGATAGCAGCCAGGCCGACGGTCGAGGCCGGTGCTACGCCGAGGCCCTGGAAGAACCGTGCCGCCATGTAGCCGCCATAGTTGGATGCTTCGGCGGCTCCGATGGTCGCGGCAAACGCCATCAGGGTCCCGATGATGAAGATGACTCTGCGACCGAAGATGTCCGCCAGAGAGCTCCATATCAGGGGCCCGACGGCGAGACCCAACGCCGGAATGGCCACGGTCCAGTTGACTTGCGAGTAGCTGATGGCAAATTGCTCCTGGAGGTCTGGGAAACTGGGCACTGTCGTCGTCGTGATGTACGTGAACAGGAAATACCTAATCGCGTCAAGTCAGTCTGGTGTCCTCCAATATGCACCCACCAGCGAAGGACGTACTTGTACATGACAATCGCGAGGATGGTGTGCTTCTGAAAGCTGGACCAATTCAGAGGATCCAACGGGTCGGTCGTCGGCTGGGGATGAAGACGAAATCCATCTCGCGTCACAATGTTCTCTACAGCTGGCGGCGGAGGGGCGACCGTGCTGCCCTCGAGCTTCTCCTGCAAGGGCGGCTGCTGCGTGACTCCATCGCCAGCGATCGGGATGGCCTGCTTCTCGTTCTCGAGGTCTGCCATTGTGAGTTGGGCGTGGAAGAGAACGACACCACACGACGAGTGAACGTATAAAGGTGCGAAACAAACAGCTAGACGTTGATCAATAGGTACTAGAGCCAAGGGAAAGTCTTTGTTGAAAAAGTTGTCCAGTGTCCACCGTCTGGGATAGTACCCAGCAGCCACACTATTACTTAGACGGCGGTCCACAGATTGCCATTCTTAGGACCTTCCCCAGATTGCTCCCTGCATGGACACGTTATCTCGGGTGCGCTGACGCATTTCGCCAGGTAACAACGTGCGGGATCATCCTGGGACGACCTCATCGTGTGGCTGCAAGATTCGATGATGGCGCCGTGCACCGGCGGGACGGGTTGCAGCGAAGGAAGCAATAGCCGTCGCCTAGGGGATCCTGTCGAGGATCTCATCACAAACCTCCAGGCAGGGTGCTGATGGGTAAGATCGTTAAAGGGATGAGATAAGGACGGCTCGATAGGCGATTTGTCGTCGAAAGAAGGGCTGTGCTTTGTCGCTGATACCAAGCATTTGGCGGATGCGGCAGCTCCAAAGACACATGGCCTCGTCATTCGCCCATCCTCCAGCCACTGGACCATGGCGGAGACGGTCGATAGCCCCGAAGATAAGGATTGACATGGCTCCGTTATTGGCTGATGCCAGGGGGATCGTTCAGCAACACAAACAAGCGATAGTCGGTGGATGGCCTCTTTGCCGTTACGTTTCGCCATGACATCTGGCTGGCTGTTCGAATCGACAGCCGGGACGACATCATGCATGCTCGATGCTGTACTCGTAGCAGACCGGCGTCGATATCTCGGTGGGTCGATGTGCTTATACTATGACCGACCAGATCCACCGGCCTTTTGGTCGTCTTTATTGCTAACGACCAGCTCACTGTACCTCGCGTCTGGCTCACCTTGCGGCAACCATGCGACGGTACAGTTCGACCGGTAAGTACGCTGTTTTAGTGACAAAGGCGTCCTGCTCACACGTGTGACGGTGCAGAAGAAGACCACGACAGGCGGCGTTCGATGGCGCTGATCGACGAGGAGATCCATCGGCAGCAGGAGCCTGACGAACGCACAGGGCTCCTGCCGAAGAAGCACGGCGACGACGATGAGGCACCCAGCCAGGAGGAAGGCGAGCTCATGGATATCCTCCCTGAGGACCAGACGCCGACGCGCAAGCTGATATTGCATGAATTCTGGGTATTGTTGCGAGGCTCGATTCCAGTCATCCTGGCATACACGTTACAGAACTCACTGCAGACCGTGTCCATCCTGATCGTCGGCCGGGCCTCACCGCAGGATCTCTCGACGGCTGCTTTCTCATACATGTTCGCCATGTGCTCGGGGTGGCTCATCGGCATGGGCGGTTCGACAGCGCTGGATACCCTGGCGAGTTCAACGTTTACCGGGAGCAAGAACAAGCACGACCTGGGCATCCTATTGCAGCGGGCCTTTGTCGTTCTGACCCTGTTCTACATCCCCGTTGCGATCATTTGGTTATGCTCGGAACCCATCTTCAAGGCGCTCGGCCAGAGTGCACAACTGTCACACGACAGCTCCAAGTTCTTGAGCTGCCTGATCCCGGGTGGCCTGGGCTACATCTACTTTGAGACGATGAAGAAATATCTTCAGGCTCAGGAGATCATGCGGCCGGGCACCTACGTCCTCCTGATCACATCACCGATCAGCGCATTGCTGAATTACCTGTTTGTCTACAAGGCAGGTTGGGGCATCCTCGGCGCACCCTTTGCCACGGGAATTGGTTATTGGCTTTCATTCCTGGGGCTGGTGCTGTACGCCAAGTTTGTTGCTGGCGGTGAATGCTGGGGCGGATGGTCTAAGCGGTGTCTGCAGAATCTCGGAGTCTTTGCCAAACTCGCTGCCCTCGGTTTCGTCCATGTCGGCACGGAATGGTGGGCTTTCGAGATTGTCGCATTGGCTGCCGGCCGACTGGGAGAGATTCCACTGGCCTCACAGAGTGTGATCATGACGGCCGACCAGGTCATGAATACCATCCCTTTCGGCATCGGCGTCGCCGCCAGTGCGCGAGTCGGCAACATGCTGGGCTCGCGGAACGCAAAGGGCGCGTCACGGTCTGCAAACACTGCTGCCTGGCTGAGCATGATCATGGGAGCGCTGGTCCTGGCGATCTTGATGGGCACCAGGAACGTCTTCGCCAAGATCTTCAACGACGACGAGCGGGTGGTGAAGCTGACGGCTGAAGTCCTGCCGTACGTGGCACTGTTTCAGATCGCCGACGGATTGAATGGCAGCTGTGGCGGATCTCTACGCGGCATGGGACGACAGCACATCGGCGCCGCCGTCAACATCGTCAGCTACTACTGTGGCGCCTTACCACTGGGCATCTGGCTGGCTTTCCACGGCTGGGGCCTCCCCGGGCTATGGGTCGGCCAGTGCATTGCTCTGTATCTCGTCGGGATCGCCGAATGGGCCATTGTGGCATTCAGCAACTGGGAGCACGAGGTCGACAAGGCATTCTCCCGCATGGACAAGGACGAATTGGTGGAGAACGGGCATGCTGGGTCAGCGGTGCCAGCGCCCACGGGCAACGGCCCTCAATGACACATACGTAACGTACATAACATTAAGTAGATTTAGACGAGGTGATGTACCGCAGTACTCCGTAATTAATACTGTAGGTCCTAAAAAAGCACGTCGATAAGAGACACCAGAGCCCAGGTCTCACGCGTCTGGTCCCCCCTCCCCCCCTGGTGCTCCCGACCCAGACTTCCCTTTACGGCTAGCTCTATCTTCCCCCCCCCTTGTCGCTTTGACTTGACGTCTTACAAAACGCATCTTCCTTCGACTGATATCGGTCTCGACTGCGCCCGACTGATAAGCACCTGCATTCAACGCATGGTCCGCATCCTTGACACACAGCATTGGCTCATCCTGCCGTCAGACTCGCACATATCCTTGAGGGCTCCTCCGGATGGACTTGCGCGCGTGGCCCTGCTTCCCCCAGTCTCTTCTCCGAGACTCCGTGCTCGCGGCCACATGCCCCGCGAGATGCGCGCGTCTTCAGGGAAAGAGAGCGAGAGCGAGCCAGACGCGCCGGCAACTCAGACGTGCAGTTCCCAAGCTCCCTAGGCCGCAAGGTAAGAGCTCTAACTCTAATGATGCCGTCATGATTTGGCATTTCGTCCTGTCACTGCGGCCACCGCGGCGGCGGGGCCAGCATGATAGGATATCCTATCCCTCCCAGTGAACGAACCCTGGCCACCTAGCTTTAGGTAAGAGCAACCAATGCGCCGGATGGAGGTCAGCGCCATTGGGCCGGCGTGCTGGAGCCGTTGGGATTCTGAAGCTACAGTAGCTACGTTACTGGATCTGCAGGAACTCGATGCAGAGAGCTCCCTTAAGCTCGGAGGGGGGGTAGAAAAAAAAACAAGAAGCAGCTCTCACACACGTACAGTCGACTTCTGTCTCTCCCTGTCTTACCTTGTTCTTCCCTGCGTTGCATTGCATTCCTGGGACAGCACAGGACAGGACAGGATAGGACAGAAAGACATCTCGCTGCCATCACGTCACGATGCTTTTGACAGTCGCTCTCGTGGCGGCGTGTGCCAGCTGTGCTCTCGCGCATGGCTCTCACGACCAGACCCCCGTTTCTGGACCGCACAGGTCGTTGTGGTATAACACTTTGCCAGGTGACGGCGGGACACAGGTGAGACACAGCAGCCACTTCACCAGCAGGAAGATGCTTGAAAAGAAAACATTGACGGCTGACCGCGACGAAACGAACCGCATAGGCCGACTCTGTCTTCTCGGGCATCTCGACCTTCGGCCGGCTGCCCTACTTCCCCTGCCTGAGCAGCGACGATGAGAAATACGACATTGCATTCATCGGTGCGTTGGTCAAGCTACTGCGCCGGTGCCTGTTAGCAGAACCCAGAGCTGACTCGGGCCAACACACACAGGCGCCCCCTTCGACACCGGCACATCCTACAGACCAGGTGCTCGGTTCGGACCCAGCGGGATCAGACAAGGTTCTAGACGCCTCAATCTCTAGTACGTCTCCCGCTCATACGCTTACTTGGGGATCTTTTCGAGGGAATCAAGGCTCACGCAAGTTGGGCTTTAGTGGCGGGTACAACGTGTAAGTTTTTGTGTGGACTCTCTGTATCACGAGCAGTGCGCGTGTAATACAATAACAATGAAAGAGACTGACTGATGGCGAACTTTGCCGCGCACCCAGGCCCATGAAGTCCAACCCGTTCAATTTCTGGGGCAAAGTCATCGACTGCGGCGACATCCCCGTCACGTCGTGAGTATTGAAACCAACCCAGCACCCAGCATTGACCGATACCGGGGACACCGCTCCCGACTGGCTGACTTAATTCTCCCCCCTTCGCAGCTACGACAACCATTACGCCCTCCAGCAGATCGAGGACGGGCACAACGCCCTCCTGACGCGCCAGCCGTACACGTCGGCCTCGGAGCCCGGCATCTCCAAGTCCGGCAAGACGCTTCCTCGAATCATCACGGTGAGTTGGTCGTAGCCCACTTTGCCCTGACATCTGCGTCTTACATGCGTGCGTGCGTGCGTGCGTGCGTGTGTGTGTGTGAATGCGTGGCTGACCGATGGCGACGACGATACAGCTCGGCGGCGACCACACCATCACGCTCCCGCTCCTGCGCAGCATCAACAAAGCGTACGGCCCGATCAGTGTGATCCACTTCGACTCGCACCTGGACACGTGGAAGCCGAAAGTGTTCGGCGGCGCGCCCTCGAAGCAAGCGGCCATCAACCACGGCACGTACTTTTACTGGGCCAGCGAGGAAGGCCTGTTGGCCAACGACTCGTCGATCCACGCGGGCATCCGCACCACGCTCAGCGGGCCCAGCGACTACGACAACGACGGCTACTGCGGCTTCACGCGCGTCGAGGCCCGCGAGATCGACACCATCGGCATCCCGGGCATCATCAAGCGCATCCGCGACCGCGTCGGCACCACCAACCCGGTCTACCTGTCCATCGACATCGACACCTTGGACCCGGCGTTCGCGCCCGCGACCGGCACGCCCGAGACGGGCGGCTGGTCGACGCGCGAGCTGCGCACCATCATCCGTGGGCTCGAGGGCATCAACTTTGTGGCCGCCGACCTGGTCGAGGTCGCGCCCGCCTACGACACGAATGCCGAGTTGACCACCATGGCCGCCGCCGACGTGCTGTACGAGGTCATGACCATCATGGTGAAGAAGGGCCCCTTGACCAAGGAGGTCAGTCACGGCGAGTACGTCGTCGGCGAGGATGTGGCGCGCATGTTGGCCGAAGCCGAGAAGATGGAGTTGTAGAAGCAGAAAGTGTGTGTCTCTCTGTCTGGTGGGAACGATGGGAAATCAAGGATTAGAACCACGAACCGAGAGATCTCAGTGTATGTAAACGCAAGTGACAGAGATTCAGAATAAGAACGCGGAGGTGGAATCCCTACCGGCAATCACAGAATCCTGCTTGACGGCTCAACAATGGCTGCGGACAACAAGTGCTTTCTCGCTTTCACGGTCATTACCTCTTTTCTTCTAGTACACGGGAGCCACTGCGCTGGCAGTGACAGCAACCAAGGGCACCTGGCACCCCTTGCCTGCACAAGCAAATGGTGGTGTATGTCTATTGAACATCCTTTTGTCTTCTTTCTGGGCCCCAGTCTGCTTCTGAAAGGCACCACACTGCCTGTCTGGTCCATTCGGAACGCTCATCATGCTCATTTCACGCTTCCTTCCTTCAGTTCACGTGGCTTGGGTCTTGTGCCGCGTAGGCAGGGACATGGGTAGAGGTTCGTCTGCATTTAGAGGAAGTAGTCGGGCGTCCGGCGGCTGACCATGGGCTCCCCGGCCCTGGGACATGGGTCGAATTGCAAGCTGAAGAGTGATCTGTCAGTGTCCGCAACCAAATTTTGGGCGGCAAGGGGCGGAACATACAAGGTATACTTCAAATGCTCGTCAATCTCCATGATAGCCGCCTGATTACCACATCTGTAGCAGTAGTTGGGCGCACTGAAGATTGTCACCACGTTTCGATCTTGACTCCAATTGTAACCCTCCATGACCAATTGATGGGCTCGCGCCACGAGTGTCAACCCATTGTTGTGGTTGAAGGCCTCGGAGATGTCCTGACCAAAGGTGTACCCTGCACCTCTGGGACTGATTCCCCATCCACATCGATCGTCAGGGTCAGACCATAGCAAGTCACACATGGGTCCTTCATGCGGCACTTCTTGAATTCTGTCCAGAGAGCGGATGTTGTCAAGGGTGTCAATGCTAGGGGAGAGGCCGCCGTGAAGGCAGAAGATTTGATTGTCGATCAAGGCCGTGAGAGGAAGGTAGTCGAAGAGGTCGGTGAAGTATTTCCAGACGTTGGCATTGCCATATTTCCTCAGGCATTCGTCATAGAAGCCGTAAACTTGGGTGATCTGTCGGGATTCGTGGTTTCCACGGAGAATGGTGATTCGTTGAGGGTAGCGGATCTTGAGGGCGACGAGCAGCGTCACGGTCTCGACCGAGTAGTAGCCACGGTCCACGTAATCTCCTGTGCTTATGGTCAGTCATACAACTTCGCAATGATTGTCTTGACGCACCCATAAAAAGGTAGTTCGTATCAGGATTCGGGCCGCCAATGCGAAACAGTTCCATCAAGTCGTGGAATTGTCCGTGAATGTCACCGCAGACTGTAACAGGGCATTTCTGATCGATCGTTAGAGAGATAGACCAGAACCACGACGGTAGGCTTACCACTGGCTGTACGTTTGACTCCTCCTGAAGAACTTCTCTGGCCTGCGCTTGCAGTTAACCCACGGCGTCTTGTGATTCTTTGGGATCGCTCACCCTATCGCACAGCCTCGACACATCCCCCTCTGACAGTTGTTTGCAGTCCATCAAGCTCTCTATCCAGCCATCCAGGGTTGGTATTGATTGGGCATCTGTAGCGGGAGACAGGCCATGAGGCTGGGCGGGCTTCCCGACGTCAACATCCATTTTTGAATCCATGGTCCAGCATGCACTGGATCAAGGTGTGATTGTTTGCGAACGGCGACTTTGGAACGAGGTGAGGACAGGAGGCTTGACGAGCGGTCAGGGTGTCGTGTGCTAAGGTGGGATGATTGTTGTGGTCGCAATTTCGAAAGTTGTCACGGCGCAATCGAGTGATAGGGGGGCCTTGATTCGCACACTCCAGGCAAACTGATATCAGAAGAATCTAAGCTGAGCTGGGTCTTTGTAAATGTGGCTGTTAGGGCAGGTGTTGGTGATAGATTGCGGTTCATGCGGGCCATGACATACCTCCTGCTGAACTTGAATCCTGTATGTACCTAATAACCGGCTAGCCCAATAGGGACGACCAGATCCCCGCCAAGAGGCAAATGATTGCTTTTTACTGTAGCTGCCACCGCGCCTTCTACTCTCTTCTTCCACATATGTTCCAGTATGCATACGAGTCGGGACAAGGGAGGGCGTAGGAGATAGAAAGATCGTATCAAGCCTCTACAGGCGTCTTTTCGCCTTTCAACGCAAGCCTTTGAGTCAGGCCGTCTACTTTTTTTCATTCCTCATTTATTCATTTGCGGCATCGCCTTGCCCTCACTCTTGTAGGACACACGTTAGATGAAGTCGCCACTTCCGAATCCTCCAAATGGATTGCCTCCAAACCCGCCGCCACCGCCCCCCGGGAAGCGTGGTCCTCCTCGAAGATTTGGTGGCCCATCTCCAGGCCCGATAGGATCATAACGCGCACCTGGAGGAGCTCGAGGATCGTATGGCCTATGTCCTCCTTGACCACCAAACAGAGGGTCGTCAAAGGTTGGGTGCATCCCACCACCGCCCTGGAATCCACCCCCTCCAGGCCCGATTCGCAGAGGGTCGTGAGGACCCAGTCCAGGCGGATACAGATCTCTTTCCCCGATGTTGCCGAATGGTTGTTGCCCAGGTAGCATGCCTCTAGGCGGTCTGTTGAGCTCATACTCATCTTCAAAACCAGGTGGCGGGAAATCGCCTGAAGGATGGGGTCGTCGAGGTACGGCTAAGGGGTCGTCAAAGGGATACGGGCGCGCGAGGGGAGGATGATCATCTCGCAAAGGATCACGTTCAGGTGGGCGAGTTTCATCGCGTTGTCGTGGCTGCTCCGCACTTGATGCTGAGTCTTCGTAGCCCGCCTTGTGAATGCCAGGCGCCAATCTCTGAATAATGTTCAGCTTGAACAGTGACGCCAGATCTGCGATTCGGCCTTTTGAGATAAAGACGTCTTGTAGTGCAGAGAGCTTCGCTGAGGTGCTCGATGTCTCCTTTACTGATCCCTCGGAGATGTAGTCGTTGGCTTTGACCTCTAACGAGGCCGTCTTGTCGTCACCCAAGCCAACCCCAAGTATAACTGCTTTATTTCCAAGTCTGTTAACTTTGACAAGATATTCCATCGAAGATTGCGAGTGCGCGTAGCGAAAGGCGTAGGAGGAAGACTGGTCCCATTCTGCAGGTAACGGCTGAGTGTCTTGAGGGTCCGATTGCGCCTCTACTGGATGTGAGCATGCTAATAGCCCAGAAAATGCGCCAGTGGTCTTACCTATCTTGTGATCTTCTCCTAGGCCAATTAACCGGAAGCCGACAGCAAGCATACAAGCATGTGAGAAGAGCGCGATGGCCGCATATGGATCCTTGATGAGGGCGGTCTGTTCAGCGTCCGATGGTCGAGTCCGGAGGCTCTTGACCATGTAATCGAGTATGGACTCTGCACTCAATGCGGTCCCCGGGGTGGGCGCCATGGTGATTGCTGGACTAGGTTGCAGAGATTTTCAGGTTGAATAGAAGAATGTCAGATATTCTACTCGTACTCGTAGAGACAGGTGACAGTCGGGCGACGTGCGACAAATCGATGCCTGAATTGCGATCCTGCGGGGACGTGCCGAACCAAAGCGCGTCTGGCGCAATCAACGATGACGTCAACCTGAGACGCTCGGCTGAGTTGCCCTGCGTGTAGCCGCGTGAACAGCTGCTCCTGGAATCACTCGTGGTTTGGGTCAGGCAATTGAGTCACTATACTTCAGGTGCAGCTCAGGCATCTCTGTCCGCCATGGCCCATACACAAATACGCACTGGGCTGTATGAATGACCTCTCTTCTGATGAAATACTGAAGTTTTCCTTGCAAACGAGTCCGTAGAAGCGCCGGCATATCACAGTATCTGGATGCAGACATCCTCCTGCTTCCAGGGATACGAATTTGTGAATATTAATTGACCACCGAAGCGATGCCAGAAATGTCCCAATTCGATCTGCCATCAATCCTGCAAATCCATCATTATCTCATCGCTGAGCGCATATTTTTAGAAGGATATGAAGCGTCTACACATGCACCGGAATACCCTTTCAATCATATGCAGGACCGGGTACTCAGCAGCGAAGATACTGTGTATGTGGGCAACCGTCCATTACGAAATTGCCGCGGGAGCTGCCTTTATTTTAGATATGGCTCAACATTCTTCGAGGTTACCGGCAACGGTAATTATCTGTCCGCTGACCACAGGTTGCCAGCAATGGCGAGCCAAAGCAAGCTCTACAAATACAACTTACAGGGACTTGCAGAATTGAGCAACTGTTTCCATGAGAACAAAAGCCATACCAATCTCAAAGGCTTAAACAATGAGCATGCAAGATGTCGCACACTTCACTCCAAATGCGGCATCTTCTGTCTGATTCACGGATTCAGGTCGGCAGCGTGGAAGATGGGGAGTCTCCGCCAGCAGCACAATCGCAAGTAGAGTCAACTCAGACGAGGAACTGTACGTCAACCGAGAGCTGTCGGAGCATAATGTGCAGGAGGAGTCTGAAGAGGCTGGTTGATATATGTAGGGAACAATGAGTGATGTGGCCGTAATATCTCGACCTTCGCAAGCCTTGACTCTGTTGTATTGCCACTGAGCCGCCTTGTCAATAGGTAGGAGAGACGGGTGATTGAGTGGTCACGAGTGGTCACGTGTGGCTCACCCGGTGTTCTGGATCTGGTTGATTGGTGGATCACTGATCGGTAACTTAGCCGAAGAAGGCTGACATAATCAGCCTTTTTCTGGAATGTCGGAAGCGCCGTGACTTTCGACGCGCCCCAAACAAAGGCACAACAGAGGCCGATTTCACAATCGATTCCCACACCACCCAATTCAATACTGTATTGTATTGCTTATATCTTCCACTGGCGTCAATATCGAGTGACTCTTGAATCTCCCACGACTATTCACCCCAATTCGAGCAGCGGTAGCCCGCTGATTCTTCAGCCTCTTCCCACCGAGTCTTACACTCTCACAGAACCCTCACTGCT